TTTTTTTATTAAAAAATTTTTCTCCGTGTACATAAACAGCCGTATCAATGATTAATCATACAGTGTTTACAAATTTGTTTAACTACACACGATCAAATTGCTGCAAGATATTTTACAATCGTTTAAATTTTCACGATTATATTCGTAAAAAATCCGACAAAGATCCAGAAACACGCGTAATAGCTCGGCGGAAACTCGATCGTGAATCTCACGATGCAGCTTGATGTACGTGACAGCCTGTTACGAAATCCATCGGCGTTAATGGATATATCTACATGTGCAACGGCGGATACACCGTCACACCGGTTAACATGCCATTCTATAGCCCATTTTTATCGCGGGATGCGTAACCTCCCTAGAAATTTCCGCATCGATTTGACAATGCCGAAATGACAGTTTTCGTATATTCCATTAACCGTGAATGTCCAGAACAAGGGCGGTTCCGTAAGCATTGAAAAATTGTCGATCATGCCGTTGACATTTCTGCTGCCGCACACTCCGATGTACGAGACGTCTAGTGTCAATCACTGGCCATGCTAAATAAACAACTTATTTATCTAAATATTATCACATTACTGTTACTGACATGACGCGAAGTAAACTAAAATGATCAATTTTGAAAAATCCAGCAAAACTCGAAAAATTTCTAAAAATTCAGATTGCATATTTTCATTTAATTTAAAAGCTAAAATAATTGAATAGCTATTTTAGTGTTTATTATGCGCATAAACTAAACCACTCCCATATCTGATTATTTTCTTTTCGAATCAACTCTACGTGCTTGCGAGAAATATAACTTCGTTGCACGTCGAGACCCCGGAGACATGAAACTGTCGAAATTGGCGTTTTGAACGTCTCACGTACGTCCAATCGTGTCGCTTTACCCCCAATTACACATACCAATCCTAATGTCGCTACAGTGCCATACGAAGTTCAGATACCACGCAATCATCATTATATGACGTCTGCTAGCAGCGCCATTCTGTGTATCCGACAGAGAGTATACAGAAACGGCAACACGTATCGGACAGCTACGGAAATCGCTGAATGTTACGTGAATTTGGTAGCTTTGCTTCGGCACAAAAGGCTGCTATAAACGTCCCTCGATACAACCACCCCCAGTGTTCAAAGATCACGAGAATTTAAACCACAAAGAAGTGCTTGTAGTTCCAGATGAAACTGTAAAAACATTATAGTGCGCGAAAGTAAATATTGTTACGCTTTTTACTCTTGTCGAATTTCTCTCCTGCCAAAAACACATTCTGAATTTGTGTACGTACCAATCAGTTTATAATGAAAATGTAGCTATAATTTACATCACAATATATAATCTCTGATACATTAAATTTAAATACATGATTGGCTTGCGCAATTCAAATTGCCAAGTACATTATATGGTCAGTCAATGTTAAATATTTGTCAGTCCAACAAATATATGGTTTGCAAATTATTTTAAGCAAAAATAAAATTGGGAAAATCATGTAGAACACAATGTTCAATGTGGCCCAAAAATTCTTTTTAAATATTTATTATTGTTTTATTACTTTACATATTATTCAATTAAAAAATTAAAGCTCTATGATAACTTATAAAAAATGTAAAATTTTATGTTAAAAATAATTTATGTATAAAGTGTGTGTGTCTCTTCGATGCATTATAAAAATATTTTTCTCTTTGCTACGATGTTGTTTTCAGAGAACAAAATAACAATCAATTATCGAAAGTTAATTGAGGTGTATTGATTGAGGCTTTTATCAGAATTTGATATAGATTGCTGATTTATATACAATTTGTTTTGTTATTATTACAATGCAGAATTATGAGAATTATGAGAAAACCTTATAGAGAAAATTATTTATGGTTAAATTGCTATTTTGTTTTTATCTTTTTTTTTCTTTCTCTTTTCTCGTTGTTCGGATTGCGCATTGTACTTGAAATTTTAATTAGTAAAGCTGGAATGACGTCATGTTTTGATTCTGTGACTGGGAAATAGTAATCCCCGCGGGTGGGGGAAATTACGAAGTAATATAAATAGGAAAGATAAGTAATTATGGAGTCAGTATGTGTCGAACGGACGCAGTGGTGTTTTATCCCACGTATTATCAGTTATATGTTGTATCTCCTTTCTTTCACAACATCGAACATTTAAGTAAAAATTTATCATTCATATTTATTTAGTGTCTCCTCCATTACTTCGTATATTGTTTCGAGCAGAATCATGATACAAGTGTATTATAGAGACGATTATAACGTTGTACAAATATTTTAACGTTGTACAAAGACATTAATTTTAATGGCATATCGCGGTTAACCCAAGTAACACCTTGATCTTCTTATACTATTATTATCTTTGCAGTGCGCCCGTTGGAAATGGACTTAAGTGGAGTAGTCGATCATGTCGTGCAGGGAACGAAAATTTATTGCAGTGTAAAGTGCTAGCAGCGCGGCCCGCCGCCAACGTGACCTGGCAGAACGGAACGCAGTTCGTAAATGAGAGTAATGAAAGATACGACCTACTTGAGACGAAAATACACGAAAACGTAAGTAAATATTACGACATTGCATTTGTGTTTAACACAAATAACTTCTATTCTGATTTGGCATTTTTTTCATTCTTATTAAAATGATCATTTTCTTACTGCTATCATGGAACTATTTGGTCATTATTTTAGTAACTTAAAACCTAGTTACCAAACTATTTAACGTTAAAATAAAATATGAAGTAAAATATTGATCAATTTTCTTTTGGTAAAAGAAACAAAGTTTAAATTTTCAACAAAAAAGATTGAATGCATCTATTACTGAATATTTTGTACAGAATTTCTAATATAGACTTTTTCTTAAGAGATTTAATTTTCTCATGTCAACTCTATCTTGTTATTTGCATGAAAATAAATATATAGGAAAAGCTTATTTAGCGACAATGAATAGCTCTTCGCGAAAGTTTTAACTCGCTTACTTACTCAGCGAGAGTATGCAGACTCACAAGTGTGGTGCAAAATTACATTTTAAAATATTCAAAATCGATCGGTATAGTATCTGCTGTATATTTTAATTCCCCTTAGTTTTCGCAGAGCAAGACATTTTTTTTACTCCGGGGAAAGTAGTAAAGTCAAAATTAATCCAACAACTTCAACAATTGAGAGTCAATCGATCCACTTCTCAATTCTTTTTTTTTGTTTCTTTTTGAGTTATATTTATCTTTTATTATATACGATTCAAGTTTATTTAAAATAGAAATTCCATGCATAAAAAAATCGCATTACCTGCAATTTATCCTTTCATTATCTCGCCTAGACAGAATAGTTGAGCGACTTCTTTCAACTCTACTTTATAAAAACTGTTGACGCAAGTACAATAAGTAAACGCAAAAATTTTAAAAGGATCGAATATAACTCCCTTACTTCATTAAATAGATTATATTTCAAATGAATTTTTAAGAATGTGAAATAATTGAATAAAATATAATATACTAGAGACACATAGATAATCCATTACTTCAGCTTATGAAACTATGTCGGTGCTACCATATTGCAAAAATACTCGAGAATAGATGGAATTTAAATTATTTTTTTCTTTTTTCATGTATGAAAAGATAGTGGATTACTTGTTTGCACATCTAATGGAATGACATAAAATAATTTAGAAAATAGAGTGTCAAGAAATCGTCATTTATTTTCGATTCGCGTGACTCTGTTTTGTTTTCGACTTGTAAAAAATCAATTTCATGCTTGAACAAGTAGCTGCACGGCGACGGCGGCATCGAAAAATCATTAGACCCTCACTGTATATCGTACCGTTGCGCTATCGCGTATACGTGTGTATGCATGTTGAAGTTGTAGGCGTCACGCAGCTATCATAAATCCATTACGGAAGTATCTGAGGCTGTAAAGCCGCGTGCACGCGAAATGACTGCATACGGGACCACTCATATCTACGCAATGCAATTAGTATAAAAAAAAGTATAAACATCACTGCGGCTAAAAATCATAAGGTAAATAAAACAGCGCGATGTCTCGATTACAAAAAGTTCTTTATGCACAAAAAATGTCTCGCCAGACAAAACCAAGCCATATCTATCGATCATATATTATTTTGCTCTCTTTGTACACGACACACGCATGAACTAAATTAACAATTACAACACAACTAAATTACGGAAATATTAAATCAAAATCAAATTTGTCAACTACACGATCCATTATTCACGAGTATAATAAAAATTATTTTAGTAGGCAATGGTCAATGATTGCGGAGCGCCGGCAAAGTTAATGAATTGCAGTTGATTGAAATACTAGATACAGTTTGCATTGTCGAAATTATCGATGTGTATTTCTAATGTCCGCGATATCATAATTAGCATTGTTTGCTATATGTGTGATTACGAGACGAGCGGCGGCACGGTTAAATCCGCTCGCGACACTGTACCTGATAGCAGACGGTATTTGCATAGTGGTAAGCAATTACACGCCGCAAATTCCTAGCGATGTGAACGTCACGTCGTAACAGGATTAAGCGGATCACATTTTTAAGCCTGATTACTCCCTTTTGCACGAAGCGGACTCAGTAGGAAGAGGGTTTACGACGATTTCTCGGCAGATATTCTCTTTTCTGTTCTCCTTTGGTGCATTTATTTTTATGCATTCTTCTAGTAAATTGATTGATATTATATTGATATTCGAGAAATGATAGAACGCTTCGTTGATTGAAGTTAATAAGTTAATAAAAGAAGAAAAAAAATTCATTTTTATACTATAATTGTGATTCTAATTACAATATGATGAAAAGTAAACATTAAGAAATTGTAGAAATTGTAGCATATTTTGTAGAAATACTATGTAAAATAGATTATATAATTGTTTTTTTGTTTTTATTAATTAATTAATAAATAATTTAGATTATATAGATTAATCTTTCTTTGATAACAAATTGCCTTTAATATATATTTTAGCAATTAAATAAAATCAAAAGTATATAAAATTTACATATATCAATTATAGCTTACATAATAATTTACAGAATTAATTGTAAGTAATTAAATTATATTTTTCTATACTATATAAAAAACATTTTCAGTGAAATCTCAGCAAACAACAAAGCTTCATCTTTGACGTAATAATTAGTTGAATTATTCGTAAGAAAAATAATAAATTGTACATATATCTACTTCAATTTTTAATTTAACATATAACATCAAAGGAAGAAGAGTTGAAACAGACGAACCGAGCGAATATATCTCGGAAAAACGAGTGATATTTTATACTCTTTATATGAAATCGTAAACTCAAAGTGAGTAAACATGACATGTAATGAACACATCTCTTTCATAACAAACTCGGACAGAAATCTGAAGCTTTGCCATGTTTCCGAAGTGTATCTACCTAGTCAATTGATATATGTACTCAAGACGAGAACTCTTTTAATTTACCAACTATCGTTGTTATTTTCTAAGTCTTAGATTCCAAGAAAACTAAATTAACTGAAAATTTTCATTTATAGTGATGCGTTAAGTAAATACATATAATAATGATAAAACATATTATTATTACACAATAGGAAAATACGTGGAAAATTTGATCAGCAAAACTCGATAACGAGCTGTAAATCATTATTATAACTTGTTAGTGTATTTTTAACTGTGTCATGCAATTGCGAAAGTTAAGCAAAACTCCGAATATCGCATTCCAGAGAGATATTGTGCTATTTTTTTGCTTCTCGAATTGAGAGTTAATATAAAAATTCAACAGTTTTAATTGGAAATGTGCGATAAATATCAAAATGTACAATTGAAATATAATAACATAGACATTCTTGATATACAACTGATATCGTTACTGTCAAAATAGTGAAAGTTCGTTGGTTCCACTTTTGCCGCAATGTTGGGTTTCTGAAAATTCATGAATGTACAATATATTCATGATATATATTCTATATCGTGTATCCATTATTAATTTTGTCGCTTCTGGGTAGCACGATTTAGATGGCGATCTAAATTATATCCGGAAGGATCTAGTTGAGAAATAATTGACCTATCCCGATAATATTCATCAATTTTCATGAGCATCGCTTTAATTTAAGCACTTGCTCGAAGCATTTAGCGAAATTGACGTATAAATAATTAAAGTTTACATTATTTCTATTGATCGTTTAAAATTATCTCTGTTCGCAGGAGGACAGTACATCGGACACGATAAGTTATCTCGCGTTTACGGCATCGGTATACGACAACGGCAGAACGTTTAAGTGCTACGCCGAGAATTCGGTTACAAATACTGAAGATTTGAAGCCAATGATGAAATCGACAACGATCGAAGTGTTGTGTAAGTATTAAGCGAATGAATTAGCCATTATTGGTGTCAGCAATCTTTTCGCATTATTATTTATGATTCTGTCCGTGCGATTTCAATTTTTTTAATAGTGTAATTGCGTGTTTTTATATAAACAAACATTCAATAATTTCGCAGGTAAGTTGTGGAACAGGCAGTATATAATCATTTTCACAGACAAATAATATAATAGTCAACAAACTGTGATCCGGAATTTTTAATAATTATAATCACGGTTAATAACATTGGAACAACAACTGTTGTAACAAGATTGCGGTATAACCCAAAATAATACATTTGCATTGCAACGGCGAGCATATTCTGTGTCTACTACGAAACTGCAAGCTACAAAAGCGGTTATTAACATTTGCATGCACTTAGCCCTTATGAATTAAATCCTTTAAATAAATAACTATACACACCTGTGCGCTATTCATCGGCATAATGCTATGTAAATTAATGTAACTTGCAGCGGGCACAAGTAGTAGAACCTTACCTCACGTTCGTACTTGAAAACTTGTTTCTTGTTTCCGCAAAACAAGCTGCGATACGTAAAATTTACGTACAATTATAATCCAAAAAAGACTGCATTTTTTTCGATGTAAATGACGATTATTACAAATTAATTATTCCAAAATCAGTGCGTTTGTAACTTTTTACAATAAAAATTGCAAGCGAAGGTCTTGATTGTGCAAGTACGGTAACAGACAAAAAGAAGACGGACAGTTGTGTGTATCTCCCTGATGTTTCCAGTTACAGTGCGAAATAGCGGAGAAAGTTTCGTTTTGCAGCGCCAGAACAAGACTACCCATGGATTGGAAACGAGAAACTCCAGACATCGAGTTTGGCACGTTTCCAACACTCCGGCTAGCATCGTGACAGGCCACTCTCGCGTCTACGTACTTACAAGAATTTTGTTTTATATTCCTCGGTTTTGCTGGGTCGCGCGTTAAGTGCATAATATTGTGACTCGAGCGAATCTAAATTTTACATTCAATTTAACTTTTGCGTTATCTGTCTCAAACATCTTGAAAGTAGTCATGAAGATAAAAGGGTTCTTACCGCAAACAAAAGTGCTATTTTCTTCGTAGAAATAATTTTTAAAAATACACCATAGAAAAAAAAAAGTTGTAATGTTCTCGAAACACAGATTCAATAGAATTTCGCAATCAATTTCTCACGTGGCGCTTTAAAATGTTCAATTTCTGGTAAATATTGAATATTAGTTTTCAAAAAGTAATTAACAAAATAAATTTTAAAAATACATCACAGAAAAACAAATAATTTTTAATGTTCTCGAAACAGATTGAATAGATTTTTGCAATCAATTTCTCTTATGGCGCTTTAAAATATTCAATTTCTGTTACAGTATTGAATATTAGTTTTCAAAAATTAATTAGAAAATTAAGCAATTTGTACACATGTATATGCTAGTATAAAAAACTTTTACAAAATTTATTAACACTTGAGAAAGATGAAAATTATATTTATTTTTAATTCTTTTTTATGTAAATTTTCTGTGACATAGATTTTGTTCTCTCTAAATTCTGGGCATATACTTTTAACGCTCGTAACATTTACGATTTTTTCTGTTGCAGATCCACCAATAATTAATATGAAGCCACACAATATAACAGTTAATGAGTCGAACGACTTTCTAATATTTTGCGACTATGAAGCAAATCCAGCTTCGCTAAATAAAGTGACATGGTGAGTGATCTTTTCTAGAAACGATATGCTAGAATGAATTAATCTTTTAAGACGTCAATTATTTTCTTGCGAAAATTAAATGCTGATGCTATTAGACAAATTAGCGAAAAAAATTATCACGCTTTTCTTTTATTTTTATTATACTCTTCTGTTTTGGAAAATAAATTGCTGCTATCTTGGTTTTATTCCTCTTAATCTGCTAGGTTACGAGACGACGAAGAATTAGTGTTAAACGACGAACATTACGACGGTGGAATCACAGAACAAACAGCGCTCACGGTGAAAAACGCAACTCCCAACGACATGGGTTTTTACAAATGCATCCTGCAAAATAATGCCGGCATATCCATTTCCGAGCAAACCGTGGAGGTTTCAGTCTTTTGTACGTATCACAGTCAAATAACAGGTCTTTGCTAAATATATATGATATAAAACGGTCGGTTTATATCCAAAGTTGCTGCAATCTCATCGCGAATCATAAAGCTCCGAAAAACAATAACAAATCTAAATTCAGAAATATGTGCTACTATCTCTCCGAAGAAATGTTACTTTCTTTCTTAGCGAGTAACTTTAGCGCGAAGCAGTTTGTTCGTTTTTCTTTCCCTTTTATTAGAAAACGACAGCTTTATTGAAAGCTACGCGATTACATCGGAAATAAAGTTGAAGAGAGTTTGCGCGCGCGGCGTACTTTTGAACTCGCGATCGAGATTTATATATCCGGGCGCAGATATATATTCCGTTTTATCACGTAGATAAACCAGTAGTGGAAGTGGTAATGGATCCGGAGACACCGGTGAACGAGGCGGATCGCGTGAACGTTTCGTTAACGTGCGAGGTCGATGCCGGGAATCCGGCGGCGCTGTCAGCCGTCCGTTGGTATTTGGACGGTGATCTATTGAAAGAACTTCCGGACTGCCCGAGGAACAGCACTGCCATGACAGCGTCCACCGAGGAATCGTCGACATTCTGCGACATCGATCCCAGCAAGCTGCTGCTGGAGTCTGTCGGCCGCTCTTTCCACGGCAACTATTCCTGCGAGGGGAGGAATGAAGCTGGCTGGGGACCAATCTCCCCGAGCACGCCTGTCATAGTTTATTGTAAGTCCTCTCTGTCATACGTCACTCACTCGTGTTACGCGATGATGGAGAAGCTCGCAATGCGAAATACCCATTATGTTTTCGATCATAATTCGTTACGTCCATCATACTCCTGTTTCGAAATTCATGCGCATTCCAATGATATCAACAGAAGTTCGATAGATTATTCAAAATGTGTATTTTACATTCATTATTAACAAGAATTTTTGGAAAATGATGTATTATATATTGTAATTGCAAGCTTCTATAATATTCCATCACAAATATCAAATAGCATTATAAGAGCGTTCGTTTAAAATTCATGCTAATTGCTAACAAGTGGTAACGATGCATTATTGAACGCAGACTTTCTGCATATGTATCTTTCATGTGTACGCAATCAATATCGTTTATCTGCTAGTCATCAAAGCTAGTTACGTTAATAGGATTATATGTAGCACAGTTACAAGCCTTTCCCTTATTTTCTCTCTCTCTCTCTCTCTCTCCTCCTCTCTCTCTCTCTCTCTCTCTCTTTCTCTCGCGTGTCCTACATTCGTGAAACATTTCCATAGATAAACCCGGTCCGGCATCAATATTCTATGAACCTCGGCACGTGGTGAAGAAGCAATCATTATCCATCACATGCTTTATTTTGGATCCTGGACGGCCGAAAGTATCCAGCTTTAAGTGGCTACGCGGCGGGCACAGACTTGCAGGTGAAAACAATGCCACGGTCGTCATCGAGTCGGTTAATTTGGAAACCGAAGCGAATTTCACGTGCATGGCTCATAACGAGGCCGGCGACGGCGAGCCAGCATCAACGTTTATCGACGTATCCGGTGAGCGACATATGTCAATACAGCCAAAGTTACAGCCAGTAATTACAGAAACGGCACAGCGCGACATTTTCGAACCTGATCGCCCGCGGTATTTAAAGGTTCAAACAATTTAGTTCGTTTTGTCCCCCACGCTACGCATTCGAGATATTGTGATCAAAATTGTGTTCGGTAATTTTAGGACAATATGGATTTTCGTTCTATACGTCAAGCTAAGCATTATATTTATTTTTTCATATTTCTGAGACATTGCATAATATACAGCATAACATATCTTGGTTTTGACATAATATCATAATATAAATTTGACATTTTACTTTAAAAGAAAGCTCTTCTATTCTTATACGCGAAATGATAAACTGCTCGACGCTTCTTCCAATTATTGAATGACAAATTTCACTCTGCTTGACCAAGAATTATCGTTTTGCGTTAGCGGCACCGACATTCATTAAGAAGATGCATTCGTATCGCGGTTTCGTCTACAACTCACCTAACGTGAGCATCATGTGTTGGGTCGAATGCGCTCCTATCTGCAATATTTCCTGGCTGAAGGATGACATTGCCATAGACTTCTCGAAAACGAATCGATACTACGTGTCGAACGTTTATCATCCGCCTAACCTGAGGACCAACGACTTCGAGAGCGTCCAATCGACCCTCGTGTGGAATCTGACGGCCTGGCCGAACGGTCAGCTCGATCGTGCCGACGATAGCGTCAAATTCACCTGTAAAAGCAGCAGCAACGGAATTGGACCGGGCGTCGAGAGCAGTACTCACTTCCACGTCGAGTGTACGTTTTATTCGATGCCTTTTTTGCGCGAATGTATCTCTGCTTTCTTACATTCGATTGTATAGCTATCTATTGAGGAGAAGAAAGCAATGATCCTTCTATTTCGTAAAAAAGAATTTTTTGTATTCTTTTTTTATTCTTTTTTTGTATATATGTGTAAAAAATTTACAAAAAAAATTAATTTTAAAATTGTGACTACGATTATCGCCGTCTCATGTGTAAAGATGATTAAACTTCAATTTTTCTCTTCAAGTCCCTCCGGAAGATATCGCGCTATCGAAGAAGATAGTCAACGTGACAGTGGACACCATACCGGAAACTGTCGAATGCAGCGCGAAGGCACGACCGAAGGCGAGCTTTCGATGGTTTCGCGAGGGATCCATCGACACAATTATGGAAGGCCACGTGCTTGACTTCAAAATACCGCTACCGCGACGTAGTAATGGCACCTACTACTGCGAGGCATCAAATTATCACGGTTTCCTGAATATTTCAATGGTCATAAATGTGCAATGTACGTTTCACTATATTCCTAAACTTTCTAAAAATGAGACTTTTTAAACAGTTCTAACGATGAGATTTTTGAACAGTTTATCTCCCAAAAAATATATGAAATACAATTCTTTTCCTGTCTTTCAATTTTATTTGCAAAGAATTTTTGCAGGAAAAATTTCTACAAAGAATTATTTTCCTTCAATTTACATTTCTATATAAGTTCTATAATATCTGTCACAAAAAATTAAAACTGTTTTTACAAATTTTTAATTCATTCTCAGTCTATTAATCATACGTTCTTTAGAGACTGAGCACAATCTTTTTACTTCGCGCTTCCGACGTTTAATGGTGGTCCCATATTTTCCATGCAGTTAAACCGGAATGTCACATAAAGAAAGAACGATTCGAGGGCCAGGATTACGTGGTCTGCTCGGCTATCGCCAATCCGGAGAAGACGGACTTCACCTGGTCGTTGAAGAACGATAACGATACGTTGGAACAAGGCGCAAAAACACGAAACGGAAAAAGTTACATGCTTATCGATACTTCGGTCACTAACTTGAGGACATACGTGTGTGTGGCGAATAACACAATTGGTTACTCTATACCATGTGAACGCGATATACCAGGTTAGTACAAATTTTTCTTACTTAATATTGCGCAGTTCTTATAGTTGCAAAAAATAAAATGGATTTTTTTTAATTTTATTTAAAAATATCGCATTTTCTAAAATAATATTTTTATAGAGAAACGTACGTGAAAAAAAATAATGCTAATATAATTTCAAAAGTTCTTTGTACCTGTAGGGAGTTCATGAGTTTGCGTTATATGATTGAAAAGTTGTACCGAGCAAAGTGAAGTTTCCCACTATATCTGCCTTGAGTGAATTTTCCAATAAAATCAGATATCTGCAAATGCATTATGAGAGAAAAATGCAATAAAAATTTTTAAATGTCGGAGATAAATCAATATAATCTGACATAAATATCATCAAAATATTATAATTAATTGTAATATTATTATTTCTTTAATCTTTAAATAAATTTTGTTATATTTTGTTATATTTAAAAATTATCTGTGACATTTTCGCAATATAAATTTGCAATATATTTGCATAATTACATATTCATCAAATCATTTTATTTACTCATGATCATATCAAGGTGATGAGTTTCGATCCATCATTTACAAATATTTAACGTGTTTCGTTGCTTTACAGCTAACCATGGACGTAAAAGTAAGTCGTGTCTCCAGATTTTGTGTATAACGTATTTTGTATGTAATTATTTCCAATATCTGTGTCATATCAATATATGATTTTCAATAATTTATTTGTCGTTTTAATTAAAATAAATACATTACACGTTACACTCAAACGCATTGCATAAATAAATAAATAAATGAATAAAAAGAATTGCTACATACATTTTTACACTATTTTATTATAACATAAATAATAAATTTTTTCTCGTACTGGTTACATAAATTTGAAACGCGATACATATCTTTTTCAATTATCCGGTCTTTTTTCTGATCCTTTTATTCTACGTAATTCTTCAAATTTTTCTTTATTTCAAGCTTTTTCTATATTTTTGGCAAAATACTCAACATAGTTATTTGCAACAAAAATCGCTGTATGGATTATTGAGAAATCCATTATATTGTTTTTTATTGCTTGTTGTATTGTGTTCGGTATTTTCATATAAATGATAAAAGGTTCTCCCGAGCGTTTATCTTTACACATTGTTTGCATGCCATTGTCGATTATTCTACATTACACCTGTCGCGTTGTAGGTCACATACCTTGGTGGCATCAATTGGAGGGTAATCTGCTGCTGATTATTATCATCGTAACAGTGATCATCATACTAGTTCTGATACTGATTTGCGTGGCCATCTACATCGTGTGTCGACGGAAAAGCAGCGAAATGAAATGTAAGTAGTCTCTTATATATTATGTAGTTATCAGCGATCGTTCGCTAATCGCAGCGATTTGCATGACATAGATCGTAAAGTGAGATTTCTTCGAGTCTTCTTTTATTGAATCGGTGACTTAAATTATTATTTTGATACACACGAAATTAATGTAATTTAATATTACGTTAAAAGTTACGGAATTCAGTTAATTTTATTCAAAATTTTTAACAAGATCTCGAAGAAATCTAATTCAACAGCCTCTAGCTGTTACAACAGTTATATATATTACAATGTAACATACACAAGTAACAGAAAAATTCTTTTGATACAATTGGCATACAATCATATACATTACATGCTTTACATTTGTATATATATCCAAAATAGCCCTTAGCAAAACGTGGATATATTACCATTTCATAATATAAATGTGATCTCGTAGAATATTTTTTATCTTTTAACAAGAAATTAATAATTACTATATAGAGATAAAAAATAATGTTGCAATTAATCGTGCATTTCTTTAATAGTATATTTTTTATCTCTATAGTAAAGTATACTATGAAATAACCCTCGTATTTATGTTTTTAGTACGTATTATTATAGATATTACCTTTGTTTTAATGTAAAAATTATCTTCCCAAATAGTTAAGTATATATATATATCTGAATATGCCAATTTATTTTTTTATGTTCTAAAAATTATTAATTGATTACTTGTGTTTTTATGCTTTCTTCTGAACGTAGTTCAATTTGACTAAAATATAGCTTTTCGTAACAAAAAATGATTTGAATCACACGTGTATGTATAATCGTAAGTATATCAAAGTTAACTTAACTGCATTAATCAATAATATCGCATTGAATTAATTTATTTATTTAATATTTATTGGTTTACGAAGCAAATTAATTATTTTAAAAAAAATTTTTTTGTTTTTTAACAAAATATTAATCCGCTCTGCGCAAACAAACATAGATATATTACACATTGTTTATAATATTATATTTTCTTACAATTAATACCAAGTAGAATAAAAGCATGCTCACTATTGATATTTTTGTATAAAGTAGTTAAACAATGTGAAATTTATATTTAGATATATATAAAGAATTGTGAAGAAATAAAACACATGCTGTGCTGCTATAATGTTATAATTAATCCGGTAATTTATAACATAAATAATAATGATAATGCAATATTATAAAATATTAATTTATCAAAATAATTCAGATATTTTTAGAATGTAATATATTATACAAATTAAATAAATATGCAAGACGAAACTAAATTAAATGAAAATGTTAGATTATTCTGTGACAGGATTCTCTGTTATTTTAAAATAAATAGAGATTGCTTTAATATAAATGTTTCGAATTCGTCTGGAAAATTGATTGACCTAAAGAATGGTTCCAATTTACGAGACGGACTTATTTTAGATTAAGCAAGCTATTCTCAAAATACATCCAAGAATATTTTATTTCTTATCTTTACGTCTATCAGATCAAAAATCATTTGATTTATATATACTATTTTAATAAAGAAAAAAATCCTTTACTTTAATAAAGAGAAAAAAGAAAAAAAGAAAAATTAATATGATAATATTAATGACGATTAATATGTGCGGAAAATCCTCATTCATAAAACGAGAAAATATTACTTACTTAGAGGTTACTAATTTCATTTACAACTTTTAATTGAAATAAATTTAATAACATCTTATTTGAAGAGCATGGCGAAATTCTTTTCAGTCCTGCCACTTTAAGTTATCTGTTCTGTAATAATTGCGGCAGAATGCATATTTGCATTACAGCATTAATTAATTGCTCTTTATTTCGTTTCCAATTCTTTCATTATTATTTTAGTTAATTAATTGCATGTATATTACATAAATGTAGTAATATTATTTTTTGGAAAACAAACATAGCACAAAAATACATTCAACAAAAATATAAATATAATGAGTTAATTAATAAAATTATTATTACAAAATTTCTACAATGAATGTTATTGTGTTTCAAAGTTGGAGCACTCATGTATTAATATTAAATGACATTAGAGCAGTGCTTTTAATTACACAAGCTATCATATTCCTGTAAAATTGCGAGCATAATGTAGAAGTCAAATGTAATATCAAATTTTCTTAAAAAGCGTTTTTCATTACACTTGTAATAATTTCCCAATATAAATATAGATTTAAGATAATTTTATAAACGGAAAAATATATTAACAAGTGTTGTTCTCAATTAACGACAGTTAACATTATGGCAGCATGCATGCGTTTGTTCAGAGTAGTTTTCACTAACACGAAACTGATTCGTTTCTGCTCTACTTTTTAATTTGGACTTGCTAAACAAAACACAGACATTACTCGGGTGGTCCACATGGAGGAACGCGAACAGTAAGTATGAACCGCAGCACATTGCGTTTTTTATTTATGTTTTTTTGGTTAAACAATTCGGTCTTAATTTGTCAGCTTGGAGGCAGTCTTGTTTAGGTTTGCTTGCATATAGAAGCAATGGGAAAAACCTGCCGGCTTGCTAAGAGGGTAGAACGCATTTTTCGTTTTATAATGCACGTAGTAGTTCTCTATTGTTATAGTAGATATGCATGCTGTATTATTATGCGTACGTAATCTCTATGAATGTAGTTTGTCCATTGTTATTTGTATGTCTTCTTCATAATACTTTAAATGATAGATTTAGGGGCATTTAATAGATGAGTGTGAAATAATTCTCGTCAATTTATATATTGAATTGATTAGAAACTTTCTTGGAATTTTTATCTTCTATTTTTATCGAAAATTCTGAAGGAATTTTCTGATCAACACAATATACTATATAAGAAGTTTTTCCATGCTAGTTGACACACTTTAGAAAAATTAATAAGTCATTTATATTAATTACATTAAACAGCAGAAATAATTAAATAAATGAAAAACACAAGAATTTATGATACGTACTTTGCACATGACAAAATAAAATTATTAGAATTATTTCCATACAAAGTGTTATCAGTATACATAATAATAGAATTACACATATTATTATAAATTTATAAAATGTTTATGGAATGAACCATTAATGGACTGCGCAACGCAAACACAAAACTCAAACAAGTATATATATATAAACACCGCACAGATTATCATCTAATAGACTGTGCACACGTTGAAATATAATCACCATCAAATTACAAATTCACTTTATCTCATTTTACTGACCAGAGTTATTCTGGTGTTGGTGCGATATATTCAACGGTCAAAATAGAAAAAAATGTGAGAAAACATATAATTGCTATTATATTGTATCGCCGTATACCAGCGCACTTCGAATGCCTGAATATATCTTCTCGATATACCTTCGTGCGATAACTTCTCACATTAATTAACAAAAGTAATATTTCACGCTTGGTGATCGATAAACACGTAAAGGATAGTTCTATTGGCGCTTGTATACACGATAGCATGCAAGTTCGTCTCCGATCTGAAATCTCGCAGGAAGTGGTTCTCTCTCTATACACGCCTGAATACATATCCTACTGCATAATGTAACAATTACTTCCGGCTTACAATAGTTTACTGTCAACTTGGGCAAGGTAGGTAGTTAGTTCATCGCGGAGTGTTCTACATAACGCTCTTTCATGTGCCGCAGTTACCGCGCGCGTGTAGCTTCTTGCATAATTTAACGAAGATCGCTTGTAATCGTTACTACGGCTTGTAATGACCATGCAAAGTTACCACGGATATCCTCCGAATTACAAGGTAGGTGGCGGGTTGCACGGATTAGGGTAAGCATTTCCCGGCACTCTATCTATCTTGGGAATCGGCGACAAAAATTGAGAAATGCCGCTCTAGTTAGATTAATAATTTTAAAGCTACAACGGGAGACGCGTAGCGAAAGTTTGATACAATTCTATTTATAATCCACTTTGTGTACGGAAAGTGCAATATAATTAAAAACTCGATCGTGTAGAAAGTTCTCTTCGCAACTATTTATGAAGATTAAAATTATCCTATTTTTCTACCTATCTATAAGTTGATGTTGTAGAAGCGTAACCTTTTGTTGTTGGAAAAATGCGCGCCGCAAGCTTCTTGCAACGTAATGTTATAAGTTATGTTGCTACAAAGGAGCAGTTGGAAAATATTTTTAAACGCGAACGTTCAAGGTTGCTTTAATACTATATTTTTTAGATAGAATGCATCCTCATTTTTCGCCATATAACTTTTATCACAGACGCAATTTTTTTGATACACGGGACGGTATAGCGACACGTTTTATCTCACGTCACGAGTTGCGCATCGAGTTTACATTTAATTTAGTCCTTTCTCTTGTCAAAATCGGTTCTCGTACTAAGCATTTTTTTGTATTTTTGAGAAAATATACAAGGAATTATTTATAACGGAAACGGATTGGTTACTCTATACACAATAAACACGTAGAAATTTCTGGTCTTACTATTCGTGAACGAGAAGTTAACAACGCTTGATTAAAAAAAATAATGCCCACATGGGAAATTGTTTGGAAAAACGAAACAAACGTGTTTATTCTGCCGATACGACCGACCGCGCGTCTGCGAAGTTTTATTGTTGAACTACTGAATGCGGCACTTCTCAATAATCATATTCTTCGCGTGATGGAGAAATGTCGCGTGACTATGACAAAAGGGACTGTACTGTGCAAATTGTTGCCTCGGGTCTAAACAGGATGTAAAACGATGCATTCATTCCTGCATGGCATTTAAGGACATTAGAAATCTGTTCCCTATAGATCCTAGAGTTCACTATAGATTCAAATTACACCAGCACCAAGCAGTACGCTTTAAATGTAAATATATTTTTTCTGGTAGCAAGTGTTAGAATGCGATGACCCGATTGTTCGATATTGAATTCCAAAAAGTACACGATGGATGTTAAAAAATAGCAATTGGGAAAAATAGTAATTTCAATAATTTTATTTTGAGTTTTAAAATAATTTTAATTGTAATTAAAAATGCAAATTATATATATTTCTGCAATAGTAAATCTATTTAAAGAAGGAATCAACTTTGCGTCTTTTTTCTCAAGCTTTTTTCTTTTTCTTTTATAAAAAAAATATATATTTTCAATTTTTGAACAAATTAAGCAATATCAACGATAACGCATCATGTTATTTTAGTCTATACGAGCTAAATTAAACAGCTGTGTGAACGCAGCAAACACGAAACTGCGATATTCGTGCTCTAATTTTGTGCAAGGCGCGGCCAATAATTGTTTCATTTTCTGAATGAACCCGATTTCATGGTTTAACGAGTACACTTCTGTTAATATTGGCCGATCTCTGGAATGTGCAATTTCACGGATTCGCAATCTCATCATAACTTCTTTTCACGCCATTCATTTGTCAATGCTCCGTGATAAATCGAACAAGAAATACGCTTACATATGACACCGCGATAAGTCTTTTTTGATGGATTGCCGCTGCACTCAGTGCATCTGGTACGCGTGCACCGCATCTCGGAGAGTACGTGCCGCATGCCGATCGCATTCGACAAATTATTTTATTTCAAACGAGTTTAAAGGTCTCCCGATCGGCCCGATTTAGCGGACACGAGTCATTAGCTCCGGTACACGCGCGTGCACGGCGTGCAAGTCGATAATTGCCGTCCGCTCAGCAAGATTCGATCCACAAGCGATGTAACCCGGCAAGCTTTAAACGGAGCGTGCAATAAAAACTATAAAATGCTGAAAAAGCTTCAAATCGACGAGCGAAACGCAATGGCGTGACTAAGAGCCTCAAAATAAAAAAAGGAATGATATAAGGAAGAAGAAAAAAAGTTTAAAAAAAAAGAAAGTAAAAGAGACAAAAAAGTGAAAAGAGAAGAGTCGTAGGAAGGAAACAGATAACATAAAAAATGAATGATAAAAAGGTAGCAGAAAATTAAGGAAAGAAAGAAATAAAAGTACCGAAAGATTAAGGAAAGAAAGATAGCGACAGATATCGACGTTGTTCAAAATGAACGATGAAGGGTTCTTTAAGTCCATCTGCCAGAAGGCTGCCTAAACGTTGACTACATCACTAGAGAGAAATATACCGAATGGAAAATGTCGTACGGCGAATCGTGTTGGAGCAATCGCGGTTTCCCGCAATGCAATCTTTTATACCTTACGCGCGCTTGACGGCAATACTCGGCGACGCTTTCTCAACTCATATTCTTCGCGACGACATTTTTCCACCCGTTCCCGTGAGGACTTTGTCCCGCGGAGTTCGAAAATTCCACGCATTAAAGTTCGCATATGCAGTTCCAGAGACGGTCGAAGCCCGGTTTTAAAAGTCACATCATCTTATTGAGAAAATTTTCCGGCACATTTTTATCGCATAAAGAGAATATGAAAGTTACAGTCTTCTCTGTGTGGAGCATAACTTTAGCAAAATACTTATAGTTTTTATTACAGCATAATTTGATTATTGTTTCTTCAATTTGCCAAGTTTAATGTTAATCATTTTTAACGTCATTTGTGAAATTTATTTTAAAGATTATGCTGACTTATTCAAGAGAATTTATAATTGGATTAAAACACGTATTGTTATACTACTCCTTTTGTACCATTCCTTGCAGTACAATTAGTACAACTAACTTGCTTAGTCACGCTAATTATACTCGGTGCTCGTTACACGCGCAACGTCTAAACTGTGCGCAATAAAACAAAGGATACACAAACCATTAAGCTTATATTTTTCTTTTCGGGATTTACGTAAATGAACTCGCGCTTAATCATGGTAACTTATTCCAACAGAGATTAATTTATTAACGGAATTCAGTATCGATCAAGTCGCTGTTTTATTAGTCGCAGAATTCTCCGTTATTTCGCGAGCGAAGAAGAAAGACAAACGCGTTTGTAGAACTACGGCGGATTTCTGCACCGAGATTTATTCCCGTCTTTAGGTCTCCTGATCCCTCCAGAGACACGACACGCCACGCAATGTTTCCCATTTAGATAATGCAATTCGAGATATATGATAGCTGAATGCACACCGAATTGTTTTTTGAAAATAAAATATCACCGAGAAAGTAAAGGAAAAATTCTATTTTCGCGGATAGATTATTTTTCTTTCGAGAAATCTACGATTGTTTATTACAATTTTTCTGATATTTTGATTAAAAATATACGCCAGTATTTTTTATTCAAAATACTTGATTATTCAGGAATCAGCTCGTTTGATCTTTCATCTGTCACTCGCGTTGCGGTCAATTTGGGTCAAGTGGGATAATTGAGATCTTTGAGTAAATGGGACAACGCAATGATTTTCCAATAATACATGCAATATATATATATTATTTTTCGACTTGTCTCTAAGAGCAAATAAATATTCAACTTTTGATTGAAGAAGAAAACAATGTGGAATAGAAAATTTCAAGCACAAAAATATGAATTTGGCTTTTTTTATTCTTTAATGATATTACAATAAAATAAAACAAATTGGATTGACTTACCGGCACGAGGCCAGAAACAGACTTATTCAAGTTGATCTGTAACATGTGAAGTACATACATCCAATTTATAGCAGAGTTTAATGTAATTATTTGAAAAATAATTATTACGCACTTTTATTCATCTTTTTCTTTTATGCAAACATCTAATAAAAGAATTATATATTTGTATCTATAATAACCATAAATATTAAAAATTGCAAATTTTGTTACTAAATATTTCAATGTGCGTTACATTACATAACAATTACGTGCAATACTTTGCAAATAACAGATAACAAATAAATGTCTATTGACCTTAAAGTTGCTACATCGACGCTCGATGCTCTTTCTGAGTCTTCTTCTTCTTCTTTCAATCGTCTCTGCAGTTCTTCAAAACACTCACACGCATTTGCGATGCAAATACAAAAATCGTACAATATTTCAAACGGCACTACGTGCAATTTTTGTATTCACACACGCAAACGCGTGTGAATGAAGAATTGCAAGGAAGACTGAGAAGAGGAGGAGACTCAGGAGGGACATCAGGTGTCGGCGAAGCAACTTTGAGGTGAATAATAATTTATTTGTTATCTATTATTTGGAAAATATTGCACGTAAAATATTATAATATCTTGATAATAAGATCTCTTGGGATCAAAATTATAATGGGATAAAAACTAATAATTCCTCATTTATCATTATCAAGTCGGCTAATAATGAATGCCTGTCTTCTCCTTAATTTGATCAGAGAATTAATTTTATCACTGCGTCGTCCCGACTACCCGCCCGATTCGATTATCCCACATGACCTCAATCGTTATACAGTCCAGACGGTGGACCTCCCAGCCCGACGATATCCTCGGACTCGGTGCAAAGCCCGGCGCAGCCGACGCCGACGCCGGCGCCGAGGTGGCCTCTGAAGCCAGGCGTGCTGGTGCACATCAATCGGACTCACAGCCTGCGATCCGGCCTGAGCGTTCGCGCAAACGAGGCTAACCTGCGTAACGAGCTAGTGGCCAAACATAACGACGTGCCGCTCAGACAAAAGTTCCTCGACGAGACGTCATTGTCGTCGAACGGCCGTAATCCGGCGCGGACGGTATTCCGGCGTGGTAGGAAAGATCAGAGCGGGCAGAGGACGGCCAGCATGAGCAGTTTGCACGAGGACGGTATGCTCGCCCGTGCTAACAAAATAAAAGCGATGTTTGGCGTACAGCTCAAAGAGCAAACCACTCTGCCCGGTATATCCAGAGAAAAGACAGGTAAGTCATACAAAGTTCCACAGTCGCATGTTGAGTTGTTTACTCGCGGCATTACGAACTGCGATCCAACGTTAACTCGATTACATTCGCAATCTCTCGCTTGCCTTCTGTAAGTCATCGATTGTTTGCAAAATTTTAGAACTTGGTATTTCGGATGAAATATTTAATATGCGTATTTTTTATTTTAGCAAAATTAGCTACATCGGATATGCTTATGGCAATATAAGCCAGATGTGCGACCGCACTCGCGGATGTAAATATTTGTGAATGCAAATAGGTTAAACAAACTTTTTGCAGCGAAAGCACATCGAATTTACCTCCGATTTCTACCGTCTTCGTAAAATGTGGTATTATCGACACAATGATAATAACGATTACTCTATTTTTCTTTGAAAAATAATGACGTTCTTAAGATGCGCTTTGAATTTTGTTTGCTGCGTTATCTGCTTTATGAGCACATCATAGCATATTTCGTCGATACATCTTTATTATATTATAGAGAACGCAATATATGTCTCAATATTATCTCGACGATACTTCACGATATTGATTTTGTGATATCATTCTTGACAGAATTCGTTTCGCGTTATATTACTTCTTACAGTTTCTTTCTTGATTGTTGTCGCAGAAGTAATAATAGATTTTAAAATTTAATTTTCTATTATGGGTGTCTTTTACTTTTTGTGCGCTTTTACATGATAAATGAAAGCATCACCACCGTGTTTCTGGGAAGTAGTGCGTATGTCTCGTACCATCGTAGACCACTTTGAAAAAGCTCATTAAGCATATAGCTATATACGCAGCGCGTAATTAACGCTCTCTAACTTTTCCATCCGATGCCGGCGGAAACTTCGTGGAATGCTCGACTTTGCTAGATCTTGAACGCTTATTTACGAGCTTCATTATTACTTAGTCACGTTAAAAAGTGAGAATATATGAAATAAGGATTTCAATACAAGATGCATTAAAATTTTATTTACTATAATGACAAAGGTATATTTAAAAAAGAACGCATATTAAATATTATTTGTATTTTGTAATAACAAAGATATTATTTGCTCATATGTTTTCTTGGAAAATATGAATATTATTTTAAAGTTTTTATAATGCTTTTTGAATATAAAATATATGTTTGCACATCCATTCGTTTTATGTATGTGAACGCTAAAAACATTGCGATTTCTATCAAAGTTGTTAATATGACTTAAACTTACGTACTCTAGTTCTCTGTTTTGTTTACAATTTTATAGCTTATAACTTACACAAAAATGTTTAATTAATCTAAAAAAATATTTCTATATTTCTTACAATTTATTATCCTGTTGTGCATTAAATGTTTTATTTCAAGTTGCGAAGAAATATAAAAAGCTTGCTTCGGAAATATTATATAATCAATTCGATAATCTTTTTCTTTATGTAACTTTTATGAGGCGTCCAACATCTCAAAACTTGAAGTAAAACATTTATCCTGTATTTTTTAACATCTGATCGTTGTTTGATTAAGCTGCCGCATGAGAGAGGCTTTATATGTTTGTGACGTCGCCCGTTGTTGATTGTGTGTTCCTTAGCTGTGACTTATAAGAGAATCGTACCGCGGCAGCAGATATTGCACACCGTGGAATCATCTCACGAGCTGAATCATGGCAATGTGTCTCGTAAGCGAAAAAAACCCGGAGCAGGTACGTTATATCAAACATTTTTATATAACACGCATGCTTGCAATCTGATTTGCTCGAATGCTTCGATTTAGAACCTTCTTCAAAATGACAGACCTTCTCCCTAAAATTGTATGTCATTTTATCGCTGCACACGTGATATAATCTATTCATTGTCGGAATTCATTCATTGACGAAACAGATATACATTTAAATGTGAGCACACAGACAATACAGTGTACAGACACAAGTGCTAGAATTATTAGTGCGAAATAGAAAATTATTTATTTAGGTAATCACACATGTCGCACGCAAGAGTTCACAGTTTCGTATAAACGAACAATGCACACAGCAATCGACCACATAAATTTCACTTATCGCAACCACTATTAATCACAGATATTATTCATTCTCTGACTTCCGCCGTGGCTTTTATTTCACGTATTCCTTCATTCGCGCAACATTCATCGCGATATTATTCTCTTAATCTTTTTCATATTATCAAAATCATACAAATTCTCTGTCGCTTACAATCAAAGTTCTTTTAACTAGGAAATCTTGCTAGTGAAGTTACGAGTAGCTAATGACAATTATCAACAGCAAACGTGTGACATGACATTATTATTCTGCTATGTATCTATGTTTCGAATGAGCACTATGATTATAGCGAAGATAATTTTAGTACTCATATAAAGCGTGAATTAGACGAGAAAACCGAAATACGAATTGGAATCCATAGAATTGAGTCGCGGCATTCAGAAATTCTGAGTTCTGATTGTAATTCAGAATTATAATGATTATAATTAATTGCCTGGAATTTTTTAATTTCACGATCACATCTTGGAATCCAATTCGGACTTGCAATTTGTTTCGAGTTTTACGATTCTATTCTATCTTTTATACAAAAGTTTGTCGTTATTGGATTAAAGCGGAATGTGTTGATCGATCGTGAAACATCGAGTCTGCTGTCGTCGTCGACAATTTACGCCACGACAATTTGTACAACATCGCTTTCTTTTTGCAATTGCAGATCCCAATCAAGCGAATAACAATCATGTGAACAGTGTGTCGGAAGCTCTTCCCGACTCCGGGACAAAGACGTTCTACGAAAATTTACCTTTCCACGGGATTCAAGCGCCACCTAACAAGGTTAGTATAATAATCATTGTGCGTATAAAACAAGGCAACGTTTTATTAGATCGCATGAGCCAGGCTCGATTTGCATACCAGCGTGATTGTCGAAATAACGACGGCAAGTGTATCAGTCGCAACAGTCATGAATTTTCTATGCTAAATATTAAAGTTAAAGGCCAAAATTAACATTGTAATTTGTTTAAAAAATTTTTTTTCAATGCAGAACAACATTTTCGCCACTTAAAAAATATTTAACTAAGATTATTCGATTTCCAACCTACTCTGTGTCGATACAATTTGAGGAAACTACAAGTAAGAGCAACTTAAGTGGACATCGATATCCTCTCGGTATAGTTCCATCAGTTAACCACCAAGTTTCGTGAACAGCTCGTCGATTAACGTTGTCTCCTTCTGACCAAATACATTCGAGAGGTGCTAGTAAGTGAAATGCGGTGAAAGGCCAAGAGGGTAGATATTAGTATGACCCTTCGCGTGGTTCGAAAGCTCCGGCACTTAGAAGTGCCTCTACTACTCCGACATATGGTTCCTCCGTATTGCTCGTGCTTCACTTTGTGGGAGCTCAGGAACAGAGGTCCCTATCAACCTTTATAATGGCGTTTACTTCGCAGTGACTTTCCGTATCGCCGTTCCGCAATTAAGAGGCCGCATGATATTGGCGCCCGCCTTATCGAATTACCGCACGCGGATGCACTCGTCACTTTTCTATCCTTTTTACCCATCCAAACGCTCGGTTACCGCGTTTATCGCAACTAATTGATTCACGTGTAAACGTTTAAATAATTAATTTTCTCGTTTTGCAACTGGCTTCCCCTTCTGTTTACATTTGAATAATTAGAGTTAAAATTAAAATATCTTTCTTGTTGGAGAAACCATGCAATTTTCTGCAATAACAGACATTATCTACGAATTATACATGAACCATTATACTAACAAAAATTCCGGTAATTAAAACATGAACGAGAATTTTTAGTCAGCAAAAAAGGCAATGTCGCGTGCGAGAGAAAGCGTATCATATTCCTATGCATTGAAAGGCAAAGTTATTATTATCCAAGTTTCTTCTATCTTAAAAATGCAGTTGATTACATTACATAAAACTTTATGATGTAAATTTTATCACATCAACCAATTTCTTCACTTCGCGTTTCTCAAATGACTAAATATATCGTCCTCTGAATTGTCGAGCGTCGTTCAAAGGATATTCTACTTTGTGACGTCGATTCAATTCAATGAACGTTCCAAACTCTTTGTGTATATCCGAGTCTATTTTGATGGTAATGCGATCGAACCTGTATCATCTTATCACGAAAACGATTCTTTACAGTATAAATAATACAAAATTTTGCATATTTTAATATTTAACACGTTTATGGTCTTTATAGTTTTCATATTTTGAAATGACATAGTCACATTTCAATTGGAATATTGATGGAGAGAGAAAAATAATTAATAGTGGTGACTGACAATTTGCCGTCGTTATGTCGCAGCGTAGTGAATACACAATGCTTGTCAATCCAGTTTCGAAGTTGAGATTCGTAATCACATTGCTTTTAGCAGTAAATATTATAAAATCGATGTTGCTGAAATGACATATCGGACTACATTAATTCGTTCGGCACGTCATTAAAACGTTTTCATTATTACTCGCGTAAAATTTCAATATTGTACTCTGTAACGCTACAAAATAACTGCTGATGAAAAGTAGATAAAATTTTCATAAAGATTAATATTAATATAATATGATTCTTGAAAGGTATCATATTAATGATCATATTAATCAAGTTTATGTATTTTGCATATTGATTGTTTTAACTGCTTGTTACATAATCTTGTGTATAACATTTCTATACGATAATTACGATAACGTTTTATCGATTGTCTTACAGATAATTGCAATACCAACAATTTAACAATTTGATAAAATTGTGAGGATAATTTACCAATGAAAGAAGTAAACGAAATTGTATTAATTCTTAGCAAGTAAGTGCTATTAATTCTTCGCGCTGCCTAGATACATTTTTTGCGAACTATCGGATACTTTTATTAGATATAGAAAGTCTCCTAGCCCGATCGATATTGCGGAAAAAAGAACACCGTGGTGGACAGGTAATTCAGTGCTGTGCGAGTGTAACGAGCATTGCTATTTTGGCGGAAATAAATTCACCGCTCGCTTTTCTTTTAGCTTAATCGTGCTCGCACTAACGAAGAACCAATTGTTGCAATCTTTTTACTTTACGGTGAAATATACGAATTGCAGCTTTGTAACGTTATTATGATCGAAATTAATACGTTTGGTTTTGTGCTGATTAATGAACAAATCGATTATCGGTGTTACACATTTAATGAAACGTGACATTCCTAATTTAAGAAGGTGACATGACACTTGCTATTTGAATTCGATATCGAAAAAATAATTACGCGACTTTTTTCAGTTTAATCGTTCAGTTTAATAAGTAATAAGATTAATTCGGTACACGCTGAATCGGGTGAATTATTCGTACGGATTGGATATAAAAATATTTGCGCTTGTTTAAATCGATAAAAAATTTAACTGAAATAATTAATTCTAATTATGTGGCAATACGATAATAATTATGTTAGCTTCTATTCACAGTTCAGTTCATGAAATGTTTATAACTTAGATGAGATATATTTATATAGGCGGAAAGCTACCAAACTTGTAACTTTTGAGACAGTAGATAGTAGACGTTAGATTGAAACTGATATAGTTACGTGCTTTTACTTAATTATTAAACTTCCACAGTAGTCGCTCTTGGTTTAAATTTTCCATTAAATCACGACTTCTGTTTTTTGTGAATTACACTCCTCCACAAATTTTCATTACACTGATGAACTAGTTTTATTTAATGGAAAACACCTCCTGTCTGACATGACAAACACCCACAAGTGCAAAGCTCATTTTGGCAAGCGCGCCGGGCGAAATTAGCCGAACCGGTTTACCTAATTCGCTAGTATTCACAATTCAAGCGCAATCTGAATCAATCAACGTATAATTCGATGAGAGGCAATAAGCACGGTTACTGGACGCGGAGCACTCGATAATTAGAACCGATATCCAATGAATGATTGTTCTAACGCATCGCGCTGTTTTGCAAGTGTTGCGATGCTATATTTTAATTAACTGTAATTACACTTTAACAAATAGCAATTTGAAGAAATTTTTTTATTTTTCTCAAAGGAATAAAATTTCGATCTTGGACTAATACATATAGGATTAGAAAATTACTTTATGATTATTATTAACAAATAAAAATTAGAAAAATTTTTTAATCAATTACAATGTAGTAATTTATGTAACTCAACAGTTTTATCCCACATAGATCAAATGAAAATTATCTATGGAATACTGAATCTGCGGAATTATCAATCAGTCTATCTAGTCTACCCGATAGCATATAACATTGTTACAATAGCAAACCTCTTCGTAACATCGTTATTAAATGCATAAGTTTAAGCAACTTGCTCATATAATTATACAAGGAAGCAACGTAACTATATCAGTAATCCTCATCCAAATGCCGAAATACCAATAGCAACTCAGAAATTGACATAGATTGCCTCCTTATGTCCTACGGCGGAGAAGCACCATTCCGGCCAATCTGCTGTACGATGCCGACTTTACCGTCGCTAATTAAGTGATCGCGATTACCGAAATGTCATTACCCTCGGGAGTACGGGGCCGTTATCGCATCGTCGACGGCGCATGATAATCGAACGTTAGTCAGCACCGAACCGAAACGACGCCTGAAGGCTATCAGATGTATGTGTATGCGAATGGCCCTTGGCTGCGTTTTGTTTTAGTTGGTTTCTCCTAAGTTTGCCCGAATTTCGGCTTTGCATGGCACGTTACATCATTCCGTCACGGCCTCGCCGTGCTCCTCACGGCCACCCAGCAGAGCGGTCAGTCTCTGCGACGGCAGTTCCGGCTACGAGTCGATCATGAGCCACCTAGGGCCTCATTACAACATGCCCAGAAGCAATTCCCCGGTACTTAAATACAACACCTTGAAGCCGCGCGGGCGCAAGCAGAAGCACTCGGAACATTGCCGCCGGCACGAGAACATTCGCAGGAAATACGAGCTGTACGCGATTCCGATCTACAAAACGTGCCCGCACAAGAGCGACAGCACGACGACGATCGCGACGATCGTCCGTTCGATGGAGGATGCGCCGTCATTGATTCTGGACCAAACGTCGGCGTCGATGAGCCTGCTGACCCGATCAGCGCCATCGACACCGATATTGCCGTCACCGACGATGCCGCCGATACCAGCACCGAGGACGTCTAGAAAAACCGACCCGTCCAAACACACCTACCAAAATGTTCCTCCCCCCGTTTTTCCACCGAAAAACGCTTCGTTGCCTAAGCTTAAGGTTTGTCGACTATTGATGATCTATAATAAGAAACCCCCGCATCTAATAACGCTCGTGGACGATGCGGCTTTGTGCCTCTCAATCGATCCTGTCGCCGTTGACTCACATTGTCGAGTAGTTTTTCATTGATTTTAATAATATCAGTTCCCATCGCAGCCATTACAGTCGCAATTTTTACATTATAGTTATAGAAAAATATTCTGGCATCAAATTATAATTTTAAACACAGTTGAATCAGTATTTATGCTATTAAGAATATTCGATAAAACACGTACTGATAATGTGGAAATTAAAATTAGAAATATGTATATGAATACATGGAAGATATGCGTCGAATTTAATATTTCCGCAAGTTTTAGCTATCTTCATATACATACACAAGACTTTCATTTTATTCTGCATTTTATCGATTATTAAATTGAAGCATAGTGCTCTTCAAAGTCACAAAATAACGTTATTATGTCAGTTCGTGAAATGAATGAAACGATTGAAAGGGGTACATGAAAAATGTTTGTAGAATTGCTTGTGTCAGTAAATGCAAATTGTGATTTGATGGGACAAATTAAATTCGATTGAGTTTATACCAGACTTTGTTACACAGTTTGATTGACTTTTAAATGTGTAACTCTTTTCTCTCATTTGAGTCATTATTGAACATATTTTAAATTGAATATTTATTACTAATAAAATAGTCAAATTTGGAACAAAACAACTCATTAAAATGAATGAAAAATTGTATTTATTAATTATAAGTAGATTTTCATAACATATTGAACAAAATACCATGTTCCATTATACTATGTAAAAGTCACACAGGAAGCATTTATAAATAATTATAAATAATTCATACCTAAGCTTTAAAATATGCTATTTTATTTAATTAATCTGTTTTGCAACAAAATTTCAATATTAAAAGCTTTTTCACTGTTTACACATACGTATAGTTTTAAAGTCGCGTAACTCGGTTAAAAACAATTATAACAATTAAAATTTTAGAAAAACGCATTTTGTAGATAAAATGTAGATTTTAGTACTTATCATAAACTTTTCGAGAAAATTTTTTTTATTGAGAACAAAACAATGTGTTCTTTCTTTGGACTCAGAAGTGTAAAGATAAAAAATGTTCAAAAACGGCTTAAAACACGTGAAAGTACAAGTTTCAAGCTTTAAAACGCTTTTTTAATTTTTTGTCTACAATGATCTTTCGCCGAGTTAGAGTGGTTTGAAAATTGCTACATTTTGAGCGTTTGAACATCTCGACGCTGTAGAGCAGGCGGCCGACTGGCTGAGTGCGCGCCATTAATACGCACGATGCCGTACTAATGGCGCGCACCGCGCACTCAGCCTCATTCGGCCACACGACTCTGTCGTGTCGAGACGGTCAAGCGCTTAAAATTTAATGATTTTCAACCGCTGTAACTCGGCGAAAGATCATCGTGGATAAAAAATTAAAAAAACGTTTTAAAGCTAGAAACTTGTACTTTCACGCGTCTTAGGCTGTTTTTAAAAAATTTTTTATATTTCTAAGTCTTAAAAAGAATTCGTTGTTCTGTTTTCAACAAAAAAAACTTTCTCAAAAAGTTTATGCCTTTTGGGCTTCTGAAAAGTGTTTCCTATTTTTGGTGGAATTGTATATAACCATTTGTTTTATATTTAGTTTGTCTTTTGTCAGTAGGAATGTATACAAGCTAGTCTGCTAAAAGCCTTCCTCAAAACAAAAGTACCTACTATCGAAACTTTTATAGTGGTTTGATCATAGTTTGATATCTTAAAAAAAGATTGCGATTGTAAGAGTTTATAAAAATTATCGTGACATTTTATTTCTTAAGTCCTTACAATTTTTATATCGAAAACGTAAAAATTTTATCAACTTTAATTTATCTCTAACCGCGAGAGTTACAATCGATTCGATTGACAGAGAGCAGCAATGTCCAGCGAGCGAAAAGTCAATTCGTTCCCCATTTGAGCACCAAGTAAAATTTAGCATGTCGCGTCTACTGCATGAATACGATTTACGTGTCCGTAATAGATATAAAACAGCAGCTTCGAGCAAATAGGAGATTAAAGTTGCTGGAAGCCGAGTTATAATCGGAAATCATATTTTCCCTGCTAAGCTGGATCCGGGCATCTATGTAGCGACCGCCCTTGTGCATGTTGGCCGCACGTCAAGTAAGTTTCCACTGTCACACACGCTTAATCAATGACTCGAGCTCTTTATTGTTTCGAAAGCAGATAAGTCTGAGATATTACTTCGAACGTTTCTGCAATTGTTATTTGCAACACTATATTTTTGTTTCTTTTTATTTTTACCTAAAACAAAACATTTTTCCAATATTTTTCTTTACTTATTAGTCTGTAAAATATATTTTGTCAACGAAGACTCTTTAAAGTCGAATGCAAAGAATTCATGAATATTAAAAATTTGTCGTGCAAGCAATAATTTGTAAGTTATTTTTGTAGATTATATCACAAAACATGTCTAGCGGAATAAACTAGTTTGGAAAGATACATCTAATATATCGGTAGATAGATTGGAGATTTTTTATTCCAGGCATCTTTAACACGCGTACTTTGAATGCATACGAAGAAAAACTTTTTCTTCAATTAATGATATCTCAATCCCTGATTTACATGTTGATTAAAATATTTCGTTTTAGATATATATCAAATTTTAAAGTAACTTACTAAATTGGTTAAAAATTATCTTTTAGTTAGAATAATGATTATAAATGATAAAATACCTAGGGTCTTAATATACTCTCACATGAGAGATCATTTTGAAAAGTACGGATTAATATCAAAGCGTCCTTATCAGTTATCAGAGAATCATTGCACGTACAATCTGGCAATGCTTATGTTGGATTAATAGGATTTGAGAACGTGCAAGTTAGATTATATCTATGGTATGATGAAGTTACAAGGCGCTTACCTCTATTATCTTTGTTTCAGCAATAGAAACGTAAATTGTATGTAAACCAATCGCACGTGCAGATCGTACTCATGTTTATACATCGAATTGCCGATGTGAAATCCTGTGCATCTATCGATGAAACCCTTTCGACGACATTACATTGAAATAACATTTGAAATCTTTACTTTACATCGTCACGATGTGATGTCTCCCTAAAATCAGAAAATCGAAGTAATGTGTCGGCCGACCGGCTTTCTCACGCACACTCTCTACGTCGTGTTAACCATTCGTCGCGTTAACCCCGTCGCCTTATCCCAACTACTAACCGTGCCTGTTGCAGACCGACAGCCTATACAACTACAAAGAACACTACCAGCAGCAACCTTGGCAGGAGATGCAGCAACACAACTACCCGTTACCGAGCAACAGTTCGAATCAACTAACACTGCCACTAACGCGCAACCTCTACCAGTCCTCGATAGCTAGTCCCCTACAGACCTCCTTCGTTCACACTAACAACAGTCGGCCGTCCACCCTGATGCATCACGAGAGTGCCACCACCGGCAATCATCTGCCCGCGATGCATCAGGACGAGGAGCAACAGCAACAGCAACAATCGCCGCCGAATTACGGCAATCATGACGCGAGACAATTATCATCGCGTCGACACACGACAAATCGACAGAACGAGCGTAATCGAAAGCACCGCAAACCGAGCGATCGGAGCAAGTCGAAGCAGAGCCGACAGAGAGGGAATCCATCTCCTCGGCGCAACAACGGTTCCCTCGTGGAGCCGCCTGCCTGCGAGACCAGCTTCCAGGCTCCAGATTTAAGTAATATATCCGAAGGAATGTACAAGATCCCGTATCCACACTGTTACGAGGACAATGTCGCGGAGTATTCCGCCGATTACGATGGACCGAATTCGACGGTGACGCACCAGCAACAGCAGCAGCAGCAGCAGCAGCAACAGTCATGGGAGCACCAGTCGAATCACTGTGCCGGCAACAATACGTCGCAGCTCATCACGAACGCGAGCGACGCGAAAGCTCGCAGCAAAACGTTCAAGACAAGGCTGCCGACGAGTCTCAGCGACTTTCGCAAACCGTCCACGCCCGTGATAATGCAGTACGAGCTTCACTTCCGAGATGTCGGTCAAGAGATTGATGTCTAAAGGTAAGTGACCCGAATCTTTTGATGCGCAGCGACACGAATGTTCCTTCAGCACGCGGGTGATCGTATTTTCTCCGAGGAATGCCGTGGCGATTTGTTTAACGCCCCGAGATTACTACTCGGTACTACACTACTACATCTTAGAGATAACGCACACGTGCGTGTCGAACACGTTCTTCATGATGTTCTCTACATACATGAAAGGTAGGGCAAATTTTCTTCTTGATTTTTTTTTACTCTGTTTATTTTGTATAACATTTCTCTTCGTGAGCTGCTAATCTAGAGATTTTATGTTTTTGTGTGATCTACAAGCGACAGTTGCTTTTGCGTTTGTTTGATTTTCAGTTTTAAATATTTTTCTCTTGCATTTTTAAAAATATGAAAATTTGACGCACAGTTATATCTAGAGTTTGTGCTTTAACAAGCTTGTCGAAAAATAATTCTAATATTATGGAAATTTTGCGTATTACGTGCAGCATACAAATTTTATATTATTATAAAAATGTCACACTTGATCTCATCTATATCACATAACACCACTATTGTAACATCACCAGCTGAAAATATTTCTTTTAATAATCATTGCCATTTTTTTACACAGCGCAGTTCGATATTTCAAAATAGAATTATCGATAGCGCTACATGTAAATTTTATTTAGACTCGTGTTAGATTTTAGCACTCGCGATTTCTTTTTGATAAATCGCGCACTATAAATCAATATTGCAATAAAACTTTATTTGCAAAAAATGATAGGTAAGCCTGACGCTGAGCGACATAAAATATCACTGCATAGCACGCAGATAAATCGGTCGCTCTATCGCTACGATGACATATGGAAACGTTATATTTAAAATTTTATTCAAACCACTCAGTCCGAAAAGAAAACTATTTTGCGTGCGTATTTATAAAGTTAATTCCGTTAAATAAAAGAAACGGTTAGATATGAAATAAAAAAGGAAAAATCAATGCATTAGTTGAGTATTTCTGTCGAAGAAAGGACAGGTAATGCAATAATAACAGATGTACGGTACATATGTGCTTTCCACCTTTTCCTTCCAACTTTTTCTGTCTGAAACAAATCCGATTCCGATGGAACATCCGATTTGATATATATAGTTCACCGTATATAGAATGCCCCGAAAAACGAGTGCAATAATAGTAAGATCATCTTTTCTATCGATATTAATCTATCGAATTTCAAGGCATCGTGGATGCAGAATATGCGTGACTCATACAACATATACTACTGGCGCGCTTTTTCTATCTTATTTTATGGTGACCAGTTACGAAGTATATCATAGATTTCAAGTAAAGTAATAAAATTTTTATGAGAAATGGTATGTATTGTACTTAGAATAATATGATAATAATTATTAATCATGTAAAATCTTGAGAAATTGAATAAGGAACGATATTAAGATACAATTTGTGTAAACTCTCGTAGTAATCTCGTAATACCTTTAGCTTATCGAGTAAAATTATTTTTGTACAAACTATTGATTTCCTTGAAATCAAATTGTCAATAATTTTGTACTGCTTCCAATCACGTTAAGAGCAAGTCGAATTGTTAAGACAGTTTCTGGTTGCTATGTATCCTGCATGTCACTATATTTCTTCTTTCCTCTTTCTCTCTTTCTTTCTCGAAAGTGCAATATCTTGCCTGTGAGGCAGCTGACGCAAAAATCGTAATGAAAAGAAAAGAATTATTGCATGCGTACCATACCAATTGTATATCTCAATGTTTGTTCATAGGAGGGTCAGCTGACAAAGAGCGATACGTACATTTACTAGGACAATTCGGCGTCCGACAGGCTCTGTAGGTACATTGACGGAGAATGTCATGTTGCTTACACGCATAAATCGAGATAGTACAGATACAAAAGTCCATTAGCAATGGATATAAAACTCGAACTCGCTTTACTCGTAAAATTACGATCCCGATTTCCATCGAATTATATATACGTGCTATTTTTGTGCAAATTATTTTCAGTTCTTATTTCATTGCTTGTGTATAATCTCTCTGTCCATTGAAAAATTTCTTATGTCTTATTATATAATAGTTACAACTAATTAATATTTTATTGTCCGCAAAGAAAATTGCTTGATAGAAAATTGTTAGGATATTCAGGCTAAATGATTTTAAAATTGCAATCTATTATATCGTATGATATCGCTCTGAGTTAATCGCAGAGAAGGATGATCATCCATTTATTTATCATTAATATCCGTATTTATTGCGCATATCAATTCTTACAAACTGATTAGTCTACTATAATCGTCGCTCTTTCTGCATACAGTAATAAGAGCTACGAATTAATTAAATAGCATCGGATATAATAGTTGAAACAATAATTTTCTCAACTCCAAACCACGCATATATCAGTTTAATTATTTGTGGAGTGTTCAGCATGCAGCATGATAACATTTATCATTGCTACAGTTGATCTTAATAACAGAGATGAAAATTGTAAGCGGATTATTGGCTAGACTTAATGATCAATAATCCGTTTGTAATTCTCTCATCCCTTTAATAAAATCTCGTTGAATTTCCTAGTCATGTTGAGTTTCCTAGTCATTGTTATCTAATTAATAAAACATCGATCACAAACGAAAAAGTTTAACACTCGAAATAGCACACCAAATTATTTATCGATTACTTACACAACAGGTCTGTTACGAAACTTCGCCAGCAGTCCGCCGTAGAATTATTGCGTGCGTAATTTCCGCACAATTTGGTACCCAACAATACAAAAGTTCGACAGACGTCTTAGCTCTTTACTGCAAAGATTTCGTAATATCTTTTTTGTAGAATGATTGGAAAAATCTAAGCTGTTTTACATAACAGTGCAAAAACTAAGATTTATTTTAAATAAGATTTTAATCTTATTTAAAACTATTATTGATAGTGAAGAAATTGAAAGTGCCTGGAAAACATTTGAAAGACTTCAAGGTAAGACGTCTTTCAGACGTTTGTATTATCTGGAAAATGGATCATTTTTCATTCCGAGATATTCGTCATGCTTTTCTGTTTATGCAGCCGTTCAAGCCGGAGTTTTCGGATCTCGATTATGCGGACGTGGACTACAAGTCGTACGGGCCGATTAACTATAAAGCCGCCAGTATCGCGCTCCTCCAAAAGCAGCAGCAGCAACAACAACAACAACAAAGACAACAACAACAGCAAGCTCAACAGCCGCAGCGACTTTTGGACAGAAGGCCGCAAATGTACGGTGTTTCGGACGATAACGAGGAACTGCTTTAAATCCTTTCCCGATAAATCTTTAATATATACATTAACAATCCAGCCTATTTTAGTCTTCTCGGGGAGATGCAAGATACATTTTGTAAGCGAGAGATAGGATCGTGATAAAAACTCGCTAAATTCGATTTCTGTGAGACACGTTGCCATAATAGATTTGTAGAATTATGAATCTCATATAAAATGAATTTAACGAGTTATCGTTACGACTTTGCGTCATGTAATGCGTTTGTTTATACAAATATGATTGGCCTACACATATTACGCAAGTTTCACCGCAACATAATTATCTTTTAAATGTTAGTTTATATTTAAAATCCAAAAAACAAAACTTTAATAAAAATTCAATTTTTTCGCTTTTTAAATGGCATATTAATTTTTCATAAACTTCTAGAGAAGAAATACACAAGTCAAATAATGCACGTATTTTATTTAAAGTTATCAAAATCTGCGAATCTGTGAAATATAAATGGCTTTTTATAAGGTTTTTATGTTGAAACGAGTATAACAGAATTTGTTCGATACAAAAGCCATAAATGCCTCGTATTACACATAATCGAGATGCAAAATAATTGCACATGTCTGCGAGTACGTTTATGCGATGTCCAGTTGCTTCAGAGAAACATCCGGGACAGTCTATACAGGTACCGTTACGCTTATAATATATTCTCTTTACATGTAAACGCGATTATTTATGTTACGTTGGCTTCCTATGTTCTGCATCATTTCATATGTCATATCTATTTTGCAAATTAAGCTTTCTCAGATAGAATGAGCTTACTTTGATTAAACGTTCGAACATTTGAGGGAAAGGTTGATAAATCACTCGTTCTCATCCTTTTTTCGCGAAATCGGCGAAATGCGACGACGTATGAACTTGATAGAACATACGACAAAATTAAAAGGACAAAAAGGGAAAAGAAATCGCAATATCTATAAATTTATATAAATACCTTTGTATGAAATTATACAAATTATCGACATGTGTTCTGGGATCAAATTATCGAAATAACGCGCTAGCCATGGCGATAGAAAAATAATCTTGTTAAATATCGAGTTAAAAAAGAAAAAAGTGAAACATATCGCAGCCAAATATAATTAATCCTCATCTATTCGGATTATTGTTATACATATAATTATTAATAAGCGGCGCTAGAGTACATAATTCTGTTGATATTATTCTAGAATATCTTCCTACATGCGTTTGTAAATTTGTAAGTTACAAGAACGATGGTCAGTTGTTTGTGTATAGATCGACTATCTATCTAATCGCGGATGTAGACCAATGATTAAGTCATCAAGGGTCCTTTTGTAAATAATGTATCTTTATAACCGTTAATTAATGTTATCGGCATTCACTGATCGTGAATGATCAGTTACGATAATACGTTTTACCGAACGTTGGTTTATAAAACCGACTTTTCGATCGTATGCAAAATACTTAAGAACTTTATATGCGCGTAAATTATACGGAAAAAATATTGACATTAGACACATTCAATAGTGCTGTAATAAAATCACAGCCTGTAAAAAGACTCGATTCTGATTAATGATAATTTATACTGTTTGTTGTATAGTAAAAACATTAGATTAGGTACAAGAACCGCGCTTCCATGGTGATATCGTCTTATCGTATCTTTTTATTCGCCAATATCTCTCCACGATCGGATTTCGATTTTCTTTTCTACGTATTCGATTCAGTCGCGTCTCTTTGCCTTCGAACTGAACGAAATTCGTCGTTCATTGATATACATATATACCAGGTGCCGGAGATTCTTCCGGAAATTTCAATACTTTTTTTTATTTACGAATTCTTTGATCAATTCAGAGTCAATTTTATCGCAGCGGAAACTTTATTGGACGCAACTCCCTTTTTTCATGTCTTCTCAATAGTCAATATTAAATCTTTGCACATTGTTACAAAGTTTCAAGTATTCAAATTAAGACTCTATTGAAAGTAAATAATTTTAATAACATATTTTTAAATCCGAAACTTTTTAATATTATGCAGTATAAAATTGTGGAAAAAGATATCAAATTTTTATTAAAAACATTTATGCCAAATTTATCAAACAGTTTATGATTGAAAATTTGCATAGCAAATTTCCTCAATTCTATAACACATATTTTTACAAAATATATTATGTGCAATCAAATGACATCACAATGAACGACTTTTTCGAACAAATAAGATAATAATTTTTTTTTAATAGATACAAAAATGTGTTTATATCGTATCTTATTCTATCCGATAAAAAAAAGCACACCTTCTTCATTTTATTTAAAAGTGTTGTTCAAAATTTAAAAAAGCTTGCAATATGAAACATATTTTACAATAATATAAGATAAAACATATCTTTATAAAAAAAATTCCGTTTTTTAAAGTTGTATGAAAATTAAATGAATGAGATGATAGGACATGAGAACACTTCGTTCATCAATATCCAGTTATCACATGGAGTATTCATTCAGCATTCGGATGTTTGATATTTACGGTTTATTATTGTCATGTTACAAATATATGAATAATATGCAACTGAATCTGACTTAATTTTGCCGACATTGGTGCTATTACTGCCAATATCGGCCTATCAATCTTGTAAAAAAATTGCACTTGTAATCACGATATCGACTCTCTTCATCGAAACTTGCACGTGATAGTTTTGTGGTCAATAATTCTATCTAAAATTATTCAGTATTTACAATTATTTATTAACATATTTGTGGCCTGATTTATTAATTATTAGTTAGTTATATGCTTCGGAAACCACAAGTCCCGAGAGATATTCCAGTCTTGTTAATGTAAAATGTATAAAAATATTCTCCCTAGCATAAACAAAGTTTTGAAAGTTCGGAACTAATTTAAGCGTCGCAAAACGTCCGAGGCGACGATGACATATACACGTACTCGAAACTAGCCATACGCATAGACTTGTATAGATGTATTTGTGTAATAACTAACGCTAAGAGTGTAAGGTGACTTTTCACCACGTTTTATATTCGAGACATCGCCCTGTGAACTGTTGCTCGGTGAATTGAATAGTTTGTAACATGCATTGTATAATACCGATTAGGACTGAATTACGATCCTAAGCGTTTAAGAACTGTGACACATTAAATTATACGATAAGAGTCAAGTAATTGTTAGAGAATGTGCAGTGGCGGATTTATATTTTCGGTGAGTCAAAGCGAATATTAATTCATAAAAAAGAGAAAAATTCTTCTTTAAAAAAAAAAAACAAAGAAAAAAATTCATAAATATTGATGAAGCTAATATTTCATATTCATGCAATACAACTACAAATGTAGAACAGTTCAAGAAATAATGTGTCACTATAAATCTGTATATTGCGAGGGTCCTTTCATATCTTAAGGCCCACAAACATAAGCTTCATTAGGGTACCGGTAAATTCGCCACTGAGTATGTGTATAGTTTTAACAGAACACTTATGAAGCTCCACAGACGATCATTTCCTTAAATTTCACAATAATAATAAAATTGATAATTTATAACGTGATCACGCAATCTCCCATTGAAGACAAATAATTGGAGAGGAAGTGTGTGCAGAAAATGAAAAATATAAATAACGATAAAAATGATTTGGGCGAAAATGCATTAGCCATACGCAAAATACAACCAGTTATACAAGCGATTGAGCACGAATCACATATTTTTACAATGACAATGTATGTTTCTACATATGCCGTTTTTCTCGGATTTTAGCCTGTTTCTTTGATACACCATCGTTACACACAGAAAGAACCACAGAGAACTAAAATAATTACAATGCATTTAAAGATTCGAAAAAAAAAAAATTAATAAATGAGAAAGTTACATTAGAGATGTTTAATTTTGTAATAAACTGTAGATTTATGTAAGATTAAGGGGATAACAATTTACGTCGCCTCTATTGTTAACGTGTAACGTCCAATAAAATTCTGTTATATGCAACACATTACATTCGCTTCTCATTCCCCCAGAGAATTAGCGAACAGATACATGAAAGAATTGCCTAGATGTAAAGGTATTAAAATTTCTAATTCAAAAATAATATATTGAAAATAATACATCTTATATTTAGTATAAATATTTCTGAATTATAGCAAAAGACACGGTCGTGTCTCACACCATATTTAGACTTTTTCTCTTATTAAAAAATGTCATTGTCACGTAATTCACCTACCTATTTTGCTTTTTGTGAGATCCGGTTAGATCCAGTTAATCTTTACATGATTTATGTCAAAATTATTCTGCTTTCAACAGCCTCGACTGACAATATTCGAGCAAAGATGCAACAGCGATACATTTTGCATCGCGATATTGCGTATACATATGAATTATAATTATCGGATGCTTTAAAAATGTTAAATGAAAAGCGCATGTCATCGGTTTGTTTTTCAGCTATGCTAAAGTGTAGAATAGCAGCCAAATCTGATAAAAGTCATGATAACATTAAATACATTTAATACAGATTGTCGGTTTCTTAAGTCTGGGCTAATAAAATCATTCTATTTGATGATGAATACAGATAAGGTAAAATCACGTGATATTGAATACGCCTGGCCTTGCGATGGAAATGTTGAATTGATATCCAGTTACATTTGATCTCAATTTCGATCAAAAGCTTTCTATCGTCGTTGATTTTGAAATAAATTCGTAAAATATAATTCCAAATCGTGCCGCACTCTAATTCGTTATTCAAATTTTAATAAGGGTGTTTTTAACATTTCGACAAATGTTATAATACAATTTTAGCAATACTATCGATATGTGGAGTAAATATCTTGGCGTTTGTTAAAGAAATAATTTAAAAAGCTGTCTTTTTTGTCGATAAGACTTGAACTTGTAAGCATTGTAACTTAAACAAGCATACCAGAGCTAGTTCAAAAGTGTACTTTGCAAAAGAGTGAGAATGGCGATAACGGAAGATAAAACTTTAAGTGAAGTACTTACCATAAAAAATTCGACACAAATAACGAAGTCAAATGAGCAGTCTGACATTGAACCTTTAAAATTGAAAGTGTACAAAAGAAGATGGCTAATGTTGATCATTTGCATGATTTATACTGCAGGGGCCACTTGTCAGTGGATAGAATATGCCATTATTACTAACATAGTTACTAGGTATTATATAATATTTTTCTCAAAAAATCCAAACAGATTTAAGTGTAGATCGATCGGTATTTTCTATGTATTATTTAGGTATTATGGGGTATCTTCGTTAATGGTCGATTGGACATCGATGTCGTTTATGGCATTATACCTGTTTGTACTCCCAGTGTCGTATGTGTCGGATAAATGGGGCCTACGATGGTCCTCGATTATAAGCAGCGGTGTGAGCTGTCTGGGTGCCTGGATAAAAACTTTTTCCATTCAACCCGACAGGTTCTACATCGCTTTCATTGGTCAATCGATAGTCGCAATCACACAGGTTATTCTTAAATCTCTTTAAAAATTCTGATATTATATATGTCTTTTTATATCACATTTATCTCATTGTACACTATTTTCTTCATTACATGTTAATTACATTTTATATTTTATTAGACTGTGATTCTACCAATGCCAGGACGTTTGGCCGCGCAATGGTTTCCTTCCACCGAAGTTTCGACCGCCACGTCTTTATGTATTTTTGGTAATCAATTGGGAATAGCGCTCAGTTTTCTCCTCACACCTATGATAGTGAGAAACCACGAAAATCTGGATGACATTGGCAGCGATCTCTCACGTTTATGCTGGATCGTTGCGATTGTTACCACGGTTGGATTCGTTCTGTCGCTCTTACGTAAGTTGAGCATATTTGTCAATCATATGATTATTTAATTCCGAATTGTTTCAATCAAAATCTGAACTCAATACATATAATTCTTCTAATTTCTTTATAATCTCCTACATATGGCTAAATAAATAAGATATATAATTTACATTTATTTACGCCATGTTTAATATATTTAACTATAATTTAGAATAGAATATCTCTTTTAAAATAGTCTCACTATTCGCGTTCATTGAGCCGTAGTAAACCTTTATACACCTTAATTAGAAAATTGTTCAGAATATTCTACATACAATTTTATTAATATACATTCAATATATTAACGGAGCTTTTAATGTACTAGCGGTATGAAAAACTTGATAATATGCATCAATCTCATCTTTTCTCAGTATGATGTCTATCAAATTTTCAACACGGCTAAATTTTCCAATACAGCCGATAATCCATTTTAATCTTGGTTTTTCTGTCGATTTATTTCTATTTGCATTAGTCGACTACGAGAGGATGGACTAAGTAATTAAAGATCGCTCGCCCTCCAGGAAGGATTATCGCGTTTTAATTTTCTCAACGTGTTTTTTTGCACTAGTATTTCAGAATGAACCAAAATTGCCGCCGAGTGAGACGCGTGCACTGCAAAAAATAAATCGGGCGAAGAAAGAAGAGGAATTCATCGCACCGATAAAAAGCCTTTGTAAAAACAAAAGCTATCTCATTCTCTGCAATTCTTACGGTTTGAACGTCGGTGTGCTAAATGCCGTGGCGACATTGCTGAATCAGATATTCCTCGCGCATTTCGAGGTAAGCTAATGAATATCCAACGATGCGGCAAATCAAACATCCGAAAGAAGAAAACTGGAGCAAATGTTTACAAATTTACGCGCGTAAACGGAATCTAAGAACATATTTCGCACACACGTATAAAGTCAAATTAAGACATACTTATCTCGCATATTTTTTAGAACGGAGAAGAAGATGCGGGCAGAATTGGCTTAGCTATGATTATCACCGGCATGGCCGGTTCCGTTACTTTTGGTATCATCCTTGATAAGACGCATAAATTCAAGTAAGATAAGCATTTTTTTTTCAGAAATGTAACTTGAATTTATACTGAAAGCGATAAATTACTCATTGCCAATTTGTTAACTAATAATTTCTATTTTCAGGGAAACTGCTGTGACCGTATATTTTCTCACATTCTGCGGCCAAATACTATTCGCGGTGTTTATTTATCTTGGCATAAAATGGATGGTATATGTGTCAGCAACTTTCCTAGGGTAATATCTATTAACATTTGCATTTATACCATATGCTTTAAAAAAATTATAACAATTCAAAAAAGTCCATTATAAAATCGCATTTTTCTAACGTATTATATTTTTTATAGATTTTTCATGTCGGGATATTTGGCGCTAGGATACGATTTGTGCATCGAATATACGTATCCTGAGTCGGAAAATGTATCAACGGGAATCCTCAATATAGCAAACAATGTTTACGGCGTTATACTCGTTATAATACTCGGATTATTATTAAAAGACTACGGTGATATTCCGGTGCACATTGGCTTATGTTCGGCTCTATTGCTCGGCTTTATACTGACTGTTTTAACGAAAGATGAACAAAGACGGCAGGATGCAAGGAAAAAGGCTCAGAGTCAAGGAAATGTGAAGATCGAGAAAAACAATATCGATGATATTTCAGAAAATCATCTATTAACTTATAATATTAATTCATAGGTATAAATTATATATTTAATTGTTACTCTCTAAGCCATATATATTTATGATATTTATGTATATAAAAAATTAATTTTGCATCGTACGCAAAATCAAAATGGAAAAACTACATTTTACTTTATTTGATTTTGTTATTCAAATAGTGTTTTTGAAAATAAACAAATTTATATTGTGAAAAATTAAAGAACTGCATAAGATGCAAATTTAAATTGAAGTAAATGCATTTTGAAAAGATTTTAAATATTTATATTTTTTTGGAGATTTATATTTTAAAAATATGAATAAATAGAAAAACAATAAAATATTACATAAATTCTATCCAATATTTGCTATTTCTGTAATAAAAATATAGATGTAATTTTTTTGCTACAAATCACAAAATACATAATGTTTTTTTATCAAAATCCTCTTTTTTCTATTTTTTTCTAAATGCTTTTATGTGAACCACAAATTTCAACTTTTTAATTTTAATTTCTGAAAAAACTCTATCTCCCAGAGCACCGTCAAGCCCGTTGAAAGTACAAATGCGAAAATTTCATATTAGTTCCATCAATGAGCGTTCCATCAATGGATAGGAGAAGCCATTTCGGAAGCCCGCGCGGAACTTTTATCAATAAAGATGAGGACGCCTCACCGTTGTTTTTAGATAGCACAAAGCCATGGAAATGAACGCCGCATAATACGCTGCATTTGACATGTGACATGACAGATGCGTCCACCACTTGTTACTCGACCGGAATACTTGATATACTCCATCAGAGAACAAAAGTTCTCTCGACGCGCGGACTATTATACCGCATGCTTTCGATCAATCCGACACTCGTGCTGCCTGTCTGCGACAGCGTTGTTATCTCGCGATTTCGCGATAACGCAATAGCAAATCGCGCAGCCGTCTTTTCTATTTATCTTTCTCGTCGTGCAAACGTGTAAACTTACAACAGAAGTTTTCAGATAAAATTGTTCTCTTATTTACGGTAGGCGCTATAAGCGGTAGATGTGTAAACAGTAAAAATATCTTTTACACACCCGGATATTTTTACGTCCAACAAACTAACGAAAGCTAATATTATTTTTTAAGAAATTGAAATGCAAAGGAATAATTTTGACGATCAATTTTAAATTGATTACAAATAATTTATTACTTTAAAATTTAATGTTGTAGAAGCATAGAATAAGTATAAGAATATTCTATATTAAACTAAATATAAAACATTCAAAATTTTAATTGTTAATTCAGCGATTACTTCGCGAGCTCTGTTTCTAGATCACCTCGAACAAAATCATTTAAACAAGCAAATAACATCTATCAAACTTATTAATGTATCGGATATGCATTACGGTTACTCATCTTAAATTCCGAACATGTCGTTAATTCACGTAAGCCATTACGACACTCGTTACTACGATGTTCTCACTTTCTTACTTAAAATGTCCAATGATGAAAAATGTTGATCGGACGCTCGCGAAAGAATGTATGTTCCATTAATTTATTATTTATTATTTATCATTTCGTTTACGCGCACGCACATACAGAGAGAAAGAGAGAAAAAGGGAAACAGGGAGATTATTAGTCCGATAAAACTTTTGTTTTGCTTAATTGCTAATTTACTGAACACCGCATTGTATAATGCATTCTATCATTGCAGTAATATTACACCGTATTTCATTGCTCGCAAACCAAGCGTTAGAGAATCGTTATGTATTCTCGAATAAAAAGCAATGTATTGCGTAGGTTGTAAATTCGATATAAAATTACATTTATCCAAAATATAAACGCAATTTCGCCATAATAGTCTAACATGTAATCTGGATGAGACTGTATTACGAAACGACAACGAAATAAAACGAAATCGTTTTCTTCACCTTGTTTCGTATTCACAGAGCTTAGGCACCCAATCTTATGTACTTCGCATCGCATATAAAGACGGAACCGGTTGAACGAAGACCAGTCGAAAATTTTTTGGTGCACGTCTAACAGTAACATCGGCAAAAATGGGGGAAAATATTTTATTCGTGGTAAAATATTTTATTCGTTCTCTGTGTTTAAATAAAAAAATATTGAACATTTTGTTATTAAAAAAAGTAAACTGATTCTGTATTTCTTTTTAGCTCATTTTCGTCCTCCTTTGCATCGGGCTAGCGGCGACGTCAGATTTATCGGGATATAAGCCCAGGGGATGGCGTCCGGATGGTCCACGCTTTAATTCCAATAATAATCGATTGCATACATATTATGGTGCTCCGGGATTAGAAAATTACGAACCTCCGGATAGTGCGTTATCTACGACGACGACACCGCAACCACCAACTACCACTACTTCTACCAGCATAAAAACTTCGACAACGCCTCGCAATAGGGAACCAACGACAGCACCAAATGAGCAACCTGAGGACGATTTCAATACGAATCCAGCACTAGCAGTTGCAAATTCCTTCGCATTTAATCGACCTGTGTACATTTACAACGCCTTTCCGTTTCCACTAGCTCAAATTATCACACAGTAACGCGAGGTAAATGACATGAAATTGACATGAAATATATTAAATATAATGACATTTAATAATTTAATGACATAAAATATAATAACATTTCTGTGAAATATATTGAAATGCATTAAAAGTGCTCATTTGATCATAAATGCAAATCTCAGATTATGTAATTAAAATTGTTGTTGTTAGTAATTACATAACAAATATTGACAAATAAAAAAACAATCACCTAATGATATCAGCATTTTATGCATCTAATTATATAAGTATAATAAATATTTCCATTTGCTAGTTATTATATCCTACTTAATTATAAGTAGACCCAGCTCATGTACCTGGGAAAATTAATACACATTTTATATTTAAAAAATTATAAATTTTAATTAAGTGATTAAATTTTAATCATAGCGTTAAAATCTGCGATTGATTCGTCTCCTCTTCACGATTATTCTTCGGGTCAAAAAAATGCCAATTATCGTTAGTATTGCGAGCACGGCGGTCGCTGTGGCCAGAACAACGATCATTCCGAGACTTGTTTCAAATGTTACTACTTGTTTGTTAGAGACACTCGCAATATTTTCAACAGTCATTTTCTCCATCAAATGCGAAAAATCGTCGCAGAAAACTTCTCCCTTCCAGTTGTACCAATGGATCATTCTTTTATTGATTAACTGAGGTGGACCGGCACACCTAATTAATAAATTGGAAAATAAGATATATTAAGAAATTTATTTATAGTAATAAGAATATTAACAAGTTTCAATTGAATAGCATTTGGCAAAAGGAAACTAAAAGAAAGATAAATATTAATACAAAATTTTTAATTTGTAATAATATATAATAACATCAACTTGTATGTAATTACCTAAGATCATCTAAAAGACTGGGCTTCGTAGTGTAAAGTATTGGGATTAATTCATTTAACATCCACTGCAACGAACAGTTGCAAATAAATGGATTTCCTTGCAAATTAATAAGATATTTTGTATTTGAAATATTTTCATTGTTAAAATTTTTAAATAGCTTTGATGGCAAGTGAGTAAAGCGATTATAGCTCAAATCTAGCTGAAAAGTGAAAAAGAATTGCATGTTATTTTTATCATAAAATTGAAGAGTTTCAAAAATTAATGATAGAATTATAAAACTTTATCAAATTTTAATACTTACAGAACAAATATTCATATGTTGAAAAACATTTTCTTCAATCGTACTCAACTTTGTATTTCTTGAAACAGTCACATTAATACAACCATTTGTCCTCTCCCTCAATAGTAAAAATGTTTGTTCGTCAATCTCTTCAATTGTCTCCACAAAATTTACTTCAAACCTTTCCAATTTTAACTCAGATCGGATTTTTATATCTTTTAAATGATTTCCACTAATGTGAAAAATTTTCAAATTTGGAAAGTTTTTAAGAGAAACAGTTTCGGGAATTATCGTTAAATTATTAAAAGATAAATCTAGCATTTCTATATTTTTCAGAGAAACGTCCGGGAAGTCTGATAAGAAATTCCCGCTAATATTTAAACTTTTTAATTTGTTCAGTAATGTTAAATTTTTATGTACGTTAGAAATGTGATTCTCTTGAATGTTTAAGATACAAATTGATGATTTTTGAAGTGACAACGCGTTAATAAGATTACTTTCTGCGTAAAGTTCTGACAGTGATAATGGAAGATTTTGGAGATCCAGCGAGAGAAGACGATTGTTGTTGATACGAAGGATCTTCAAATGCTGCAGATAGAGCAGTGAATCAGCTGGGAGAATAGTAAGTTTATTAAAAGAGAGATCCAAGTTTATTAGCTCCGTCAAAACGTCGAAGAAGTTCTGTAAAATATTAAAATTTAAAAAATTTGTAATATACAACTGATCAGTTTTTAAAAATCGTAATTTTCAAATTCGAAACATCGATATTTTTTCTAAAAAATCAATTTACGTAAAAAAATCATGTATAATATACACACATACACATATACATATAGTATAATAACGATGATATACATAGTTAAAATTTAGATAAAAACTTTTTGCTGAAATTAAATTAAATTACGTTACCAAATTAGAAAGGTTGTTATGAGACACATCGAGAACTGTTAACTTTGTTGTTGTATTTTCTGAACTTTTTTTTAGATTACTAATCTGATTGTGACTTAGATTAAGTCTGGAGAGCGAAGAAGCTGTGTTTAGAATGGAAAAATCGAAATCCGACAGTAAATTGTGAGAATAATTTAAATCTTCGAGAGCATTGATATGTTTGAAAATATCCAAATGTATGTTATCCAGTTGATTCTGGGACAAGTCTAAATTTTTTAAGTGTTTTAAGTTTTTCAGCTCGTTTATAGGTAAGAGTGCTATATGATTTTTTGCAAGAATAAGCTTGTTTAATGATCGATGCTGATCCAGAGTAATAAGATCGAACTCAAGGACTTGATTTGTTCCTAAATGTCTATCATGACAGTCGATGATCGGTCCCGCATCTGTAAGAACGTAAAATCTATTCATTCTATGATAATAAATAACAAATCAAGCAATGCAGCGTCAAATGTGTATGCATAATCACTATTAATTTATTAATTATTTAAATCTATTAATAATTATTTAAATTTATTTATTATTTATTATTCATCATTTATCTTTTCATATAGATTTTTTCTTTTGACACTTACTTGAAACAGAACACACGCAAGTTTTGCATAGATCACACAAACATCTGTTGCATACAATTAAAAGCAATAATGCGAGAATGTTATAATAATTCAACATCATAATATTCGTAATTAACTTCACACTCAGATATCATTCAGCGACTACTCATTCAGTCATATCAGAAAATATACACGTGCTATAGCCACGCTTTTGATCTTGATAGCATATCTGATAAGTGCATTTTAGCCAGATGATATCCAACATTACTCATCGTGTCCGACTATCGGCATCAATAACTTTCAATACTTTTATATATGTTGGAATTCCTATTAATACACTACTAAAATATCGTACAATAATAAAAAAATAATTAATAAATCAATTAGTCTTCTAAAATAAATTAAAAAATACGCAATTATTATTAATTATCATCGATTACAAATGACAAAATTATCAAGTCAAGAATTTTTTTGTAAATATATTTAAAAATTTGTCATTATATTTAATTTTAATATTGATATTATATATACTTGTTAATAATTAATAAACTTAATTATTAATAAGTAATATACAACATAATATCTATTATACAAACAAAAATTGAGTTAATTAAATAATTTCAAAATTTAATACACATATTTAAGACTTCTTGAAGAAATCTGTTAGTGTGGATTGTTTTTTCTTTATTTTCTCCATCTTAGGTTCCACTTTCTTCACATTTCTTCTTCTTTCTTCCTCTTTTTTCTCCTCCTCATCCTCTGAACAGCTCACATACATATGTTCTTTCTTTGTCACAATATAATCACCTTCTTTATAAGTTCTATTAACTAATTTTAGAACCTTTCTTTTGCCATTTTCATGTTTTATTCTTGGTGGAGAAGGACTCTTTGCTTTTGCAGGAGGCTCAGGCTCTGGTTCAGGAATTGACTCTTCCATTTCTACATCACTTTGTGCTTCTGAATCGCTAGAATCACTCTCAACAAAAACTCTCTTCCGTTTCTTGGCATTTTCATTTGTTTCTTTGCTTCGATTTCGTTTCCTTCCACGTAAATTATTCTTTTCTTTAGTTTTTCCTTTTTCGATAGATGTCTTCTTAACTTTATCATTTTCTTCCGATGATACAATTTCTACAGGCTTTGGAGGAGATGTGAGCTTCTTGAAGAAATTATCTAAGCCTTCTTTCTTCACAGAATTGCTTTTAGGAGATACTTTTTTAGAATTAACTTTGGAGTCTTCCTTCTTCTTTTTAGAATTTTTTAATCTTCTCTTCAAAGCTTTTATTCTTAGAAAATTTTTTATCTTCTTCCACAGAATCTTTTTTTTTCTTCGTTGAATCTTTTTCCTCTTCTGTTAATCCTTCAATTGTATCCATTAAAGTTTCATTTTTTTCTGTTGAGCAACTATTTATTTTCATCGAGTCTTTTTTCTTCAAAAAGTTTTTACCTTTCTCTGCTAAACTTTCATCCTCCTTCTGACAGGATGATTTCAATTCTTCAGAATTCTTTGATTTTCCAGGCATATTAAAAAAATTATTAAATTTATTTTTCTTGGTTGAATTTTTCTCAGACTTTGATGAATTTATAAGATCTGTGGGCTTTGAATTTACATCTTGCATTGTAAATGTTTTTGTAGCTGTACCCCAACGTAGTAAATACATTTCTTCATCACTTCGTACTTTGCAAGCATCACATTTTATTGCGCTATAATTTATATCTCCAGTGCCAGAAAATTCACTGGCAAGCAAATTAAGATCACCAAGAGGCTTGTGCACACTATAGAGATGCTCTGAAATAAGTTTGCTAAATTTTTCTTTGGCCTTTGATAAAGCAGAGTCTCTGACAACTTCCATACGCATTCCATTGTCTTTTAGGTGACCTATTAGTAGATGTGTGCATTCAATATTGTCTTTGTGATATTTTTGATAGAATTCCCATAAGATTTGTTTTGCTATATTAACATGGATTTGCAGCTCTTTACTCAACCATTTGTAAGTAACCTATAAAAATATCATGACATTGAAAATGCTATAAAAATAATCATTTAAATGTTTGCAATGACGAAAATCATAATTACCAATTTATCATTGTCAAAAACATAGCCAGCTAAAGTTTCCAAATATTCGTTCAATCCTTCCACAACCATTTTTCTTATTTAAACTGCTAAACAGTCTAATTTGCTCCTATTTCTTTACTTTAACTCATCACAAACATAACCTGAAAGTTTATGAAACGCCCGCCTAAACAGAATATGAACTAAAAAATCTGCGAGCGATTGCAGCGCTTGTCTAAACGGAATATGGCGAAACTAAAAAATCTTTGGGCGTCTGCAGCGCTTGTCCAAACGGAATATGGCGGAACTAAAAAATCTTTTAGCGATTGCAGCGCTCGTCAAAACGGAATATGACGGAACTAAAAAATCTTTGGGCTATTGCAGCGCCTGAACGGAATATGGAGGAACTGAAAAAACTATAGGCGATTGCAGCGCTTGAACGGAATATGAAAAAACTAAAAAACTATAGGCGATTGCAGCGTCTGAACGGAATATAGAGGAACTAAAAAACTATAGGCGATTGCAGCGCCTGGACGGAATATAGAGGAACTAAAAAACTGAGAGCGATTGCAGCGCCTGAACGGAATATAGAGGAACTAAAAAACTGAGAGCAATTGCAGTGCTTTAACGGAATAGAGAGAAACTAAAACACTATAAGCAATCGTAGCACCATGTGGCGGAATACATCAGAACTAAAAAAACTTTTAACTGAATTTAATTTAACTGTTTCATTTTTATTACATGTCAAATTAAATATTAGAATTAATTAGAATGTTTTTTGTAACATCTGTGTAATCTGCAGTTTTAGTAGTAGCAAATTGTGAAAATTTTTTTACGAGTTAGAACTGCTTAAAACGCAGAATAGAATAATGACTTGCAGAAGACGTTATATTTTTTGTAAAACAATTTTATTGGTAATTACATTACTGCGTTATTAAATGCAATTATGTCCATCGATGAGACATGTATGAAAGCTACAAATCACGTATATGTATCTAACACAGATTTTCTTTTTTCATTTTTCCTTTCTTGCAATGTTTGTTCTAACTTGTTTCAACACCGAAGCATCCTAAAAATAAATACCTATTACATTAATATAATTCTTTGTTACATATATTTATTAAAATAATAAAATATCCATTTCTTTACTTACTGTAACTGCAAAGAGCAACAAACAATCATCTGTATATCTATATCGGATGGTATAAACGCCGCTATTAGAATTATTGTCACTGCCTGTCACTGTCGTTACCTTATTAAAATTGCTGTCATTCATTGATTCCACCAAGTGAATGGGCACATTCCAGATTCTACTAACTCCTTTGATCATATTCACATTTTCTTGATAAAAATTATAATCGCACAAGTTGTTGACCAAGATATTAACTGTGCAAGTGATAATAGGAGTATTAATTTTGCTAATTTTGACCTGACTTAAACTATAAATTATTTAACTAATACAAAAGCTTTTATTTTACCATTTTATTAAAACTCACCTTCCGGATTTGATTTCTTGCTCACGTTCGCCATGCAGCTTCTGATTACGTTTATCAAATTTACAAGTTCACGCATTTTTTTCTCTAACGTAACATCTCTTAGATGCGCAGACTGTTAAAAAATAGAAATAAAATTAATAAAAATAAATTCTTATTTAATTATGTGTACAAAAAGTGTTTAGAAGAGAAAAAAATAATTTTATATACGCAACGCACACATAAGTTCACACATTCAAAAAAGTAATAATATAATCCATATTATTTATAATACCTCATATGGCATAGGATAGGCCATCTCGAGCAATGAAGAAACCGGATTGAATCTTGGGAGACCTTTCTTGGCAAGTCTTGTATATAAATCATCTGCTAAATAGGGTGTGATAGGCGCAAGGATACGTAGTGATATCTCCAGACATTTCACCAAAGTGTCGGAATGACTGGCCTCCATAACGGTATCGCCGCTTTTGAAGCCGAATTTCGTACCTTCCTATATTCAAAAAAAAGAAAATATACATATAAATAAGTATTTATAACCTGGAATATCTTGCATGTTTCATAAATAGTTTTTGTTTCTTATTCTAATGTCGACATATAGTCAGACAAATACGTACAGTAAAAAGTAATGAGAATATGTGCAAGAAGTAAAAATAATATGGCATTATCGTACCACGTAAAAATCGCAAAACTCATGATGTAGAAACTGACGAATCGCGGCGACCGCCTTATGAAAGTTTCGTGTCGTGAATGCATCGTTCACTGTTTCTACCATCCATGATAATCGACTCAGAATCCATCGATCCAAAGTGGTCAGATTTTTTTCATCGTTTTCGTATTGTTGTTGCTGGTCCTCTTCGCTGCACTTTGTCATTAATAATACGTACTTGCTTGCCTGCCAGATCTTATTACACAGATATTTGCTCGTTCGACAATCATCGACATCAAAACTGATGGTGCGATCTGTAGAGAAAAACAAAACAAAAAATTATAAAATATCAGTTAATTATATCAATCTTTCTACAATTTTCTCAAACTCCTACATTTTTTAAAATTCTTAAATCTAAAATTTTTGTATTTGTAAAATTATTTAAAAAGTTAAGGCTTAAATTTCTTTGAATTTTTATAATCCTTTATATTCTTAAAATTCTCATTTTTTACTTGTAATATTGCGAGCGCATAATGACAGCCTCAAGGCATCAGCGCCACAATCTGGTATTCCCATGGGAAAGGATTTCATATTCACACGTAGCGTTCGTTGTAATTCTTCATCGCTGAGAATGCCTGCCCTGTGACTGCTCTTTGCTTGTGCATTCAATTCCTGCATCAAAATTCTTTTAATTTTAATATTTAAATAATTAAAATTATAAAACACTAATTTAAAAAAAATAAATTATTTAAAAATAGCTCAATTATTGCAAGTTCAAAAAATACTCACTTCTAAAGTACAGCCATTGATAATGTTTTCCGGTGAGATGACATTGCCTGAACTCTTAGACATTTTTTTGCCATTAGCGTCGCACAAAACACCGTGAAGAAGAACCTCCTACACACACATAACACAGTTATATTATCGCTTTTTAAACATTTATATTAAAATTTTCATAAAATACATATATGAATAATTTATTGTTGCACCTTGAATGGCAAACAATGTGTCAACTCTAGACCCAGCATCACCATCCTCGCAACCCAAAAACCAAGGATATCATGGCCAGTTTCCATCAGTGTTAATGGATAATGTTTTGCCATGTCCTCTGTCTGCAAAATATACAATAAAAGATGTAGAAAATTGTATCTAAGATAAATAATCAAAAAATAAACTTAAAAATTATATAAAGTAATATTAAAAATGTTAACCTGTTTTGGCCAGCCTAGCGTAGCAAACGGTACAATCGCTGAGGAAAACCATGTATCAAGAACATCGGGGTCCTGATGTATCTTCACTGTGTCCCCATATCTCTCATGCGCCCAAGAACGCGCCTCTTCCTCAGATCGTGCAACTATCCATGAAGTGGATTTACTGCTGGTGAAGGAAACATCACCGTTGCCATCACTATCGTCGTTATTATCGACATCGTGATTAATAAAATATGCCGGAATGCGGTGACCCCACCACAACTGCCTCGATACGCACCAATCCCTAAAAAAGATCCCTTTCTCACTAAAATATAAATTAGATACTTATTTGCATATTTTTGATAATTAAAGATTAATTTTACCTAGCATTTTCAAGCCAGTTGTGCCATAATTGTTCGTGAATGTCGCCGTCGCTCGGATTGATTCTCAATTTGCCATCCTTCATGGCCTCATGTGCCCGTTTGGCCATTGCTGTACACCGCACGAACCACTGTTCCTTCAGCAGATATTCGACTATGTCGTACGTGCGTGAGCATCGTGGCAAAATCATTTGATGATTGTCCTCCACGCTTCTCACCAAGCCTCGCGTAGACAGCTCATTTACCAGTTTCTCTCGCGTGATAAATCTTGGCAACCCCTACGTGAGTACATTATTATTATTTATTATAATAATTAAACAAATAGATGAGAAGACAAATAAATCGATAAATAAATAATTAAAAAATATATTAACCTATTCTTTAGTACAAATAAAATTAATAAAAATTAAGATAATTTTAAAAAAAAGAATCAACTGTATGTACGTGTGTGTAAACCATTTTTTCCATAAAATCGCATACCTTGAATTCTTTACACATGTCCGTCATATTGCCATCTTCGCCGATAACATTGATAACTGGCAAGTTATGTTTTTTAGCAATGTTGTAATCTAAGCGATCGTGTGCTGGTGTGATTTTCATTGCACCTGCAAAAAAAATCATTTTTTATTACAAATTTTATTATTTTCTTGCGTATGTACTATTAGAATAAGTAAAAATTAGAGTAAATGTTTCTAATTCTATTTTTTATATATGTTTACCGGTGCCAAATTCCTTCTTGACTGAGGAATCAGCTATAACAGGTATAAAGGTTTCCCTTACGGGATGAAAAACATGTCGACCGATGTATCTCGAATATCTCTCATCATCTGGATGCACAGTGATTGCTACATCCCCAAAAACTGTCTCCGGCCTAGTTGTTGCAACTACCAATTCTTCCTCTGCAAAAACAAAACTTGGTAAGTTTGCTAGAGACATAAAACTGTAGAAAAACAGTGATGCAATTATGAAGAATAGAATCTTTTGCAACAAAATCGGAATACACGGTATGTATATCTACATACACATTTTTAATATCGTAATTTTTTTTAGTACTTATTCTCACTCGAATCTTTGATAGGATAAGCTAGCTTAAACAGTTGGCCAACGGTGACCTTGACGTCGTAGCCGGGTAATTGAAGCCGCGTCTTGCCGTTCACCACGAAATCTTCAACTTCAATCTCCGAAATGGTGCTGCGTAACGCCGGCGACCAGTTGACGAGATCTTTGCCTCTGTATAATAGATTGCTCTCGTTTAGCCGGACAAACGTTTCCATTACCGCTGTGCTATGATTCTACGAGAGCAACGTCATGATAAATATATGAGTTTGATAATAATATAGTGACACAACATATACACACAATAACAGAAATATACAATATATGTATAGATATTACTTGATCAATAGTAAAATATTCTTTGTCCCAGTCGAGTGTGGCACCAAGAGTTTTCAGTTGTTGATTGATGACCATAGCTTTCTCCTTCTTCCATTCCCAGAGTAGTTGTGTGAACTCGGCGCGGCCTATGTCATGTCGCGTGATATTTCGCGTATGCTGAAGAGTACGTTCCACTACCGCTTGTGTTGCAATCCCTGCATGGTCCAAACCTGGTATCCATAACACGGGATGCCCCTTCATTCTGTGCCTATGTGTATGCATATGAGCAATACACAGTGTGAGAGAAAAATCTATAATATAACGGTAAATTTATCTATAATAAATATAAAGTTTTAAAAATACAATAATGTAATAACAAACATAGAAATAAGATTATAGTACAATCAGGTACCAAGAACCTGATTTGATAATTTATGACTTGGTTTATTTTAGATTGATGGTGAAATAATAAAAAAACAAATGTATATCAATACATCAATTAAATAACAACAAAAATACAAAATATCTATTACTTAAGCATAGTAAATGACTGTGTCCATGTTCTCATGTAATCTATTATTCAATATTTTTATATTGTTGATTTATCTGAGTTATATATTTATGTCTATTAAACTACCGGATATTTAAGTAAATATTTGCACTAACCATCTAGCAAGAACATCCTGAATCGTAGCGGTAAGTGCATGACCCAGATGTAAGACTCCTGTGATATTAGGTGGTGGTAAAACCATAGTAAAGGGCTCATTTTTTTCTTTTATCTTCTGTTTGTTACTACTTGTCCTTGTCCTTGTATTAGAAGCTGCAAAATACTTATTACTCTGCCAAACATTATACCAGTCTCGTTCCACATCCTTCGGTTTGAATATCGCAGGAAAATCTATATTTGCAAATTTTAACAATAAAGATATTATTTTTCTCTTAATTTATAGTCTCTTTAATTTCTAGTTGATAATTTTCTATTATATCTCAATTAATATTTTACTTTCACTAATGTAAAAAAAATTAAGATAACTTTTATTCTAGGCAAGAAATTTTCTTTTTTTTGTCTAGACTAGAGAAAATAGCATTACATATTTACAACTAAAAACCTTAATTTCAATTACAGCTGCTCTGATTAATCTTAAGTGTATTTTTTCTTAAAAAAAATATCAACATAAATCATTTGTTGCAATTTTCCAATTTTCAGTATCATATATTTTTGAAGCTAACAATAAATCACAAATTTAAATTCTAGATATATAACGCATATAATACTGCATTTAAAAAAAGTTTAATATATTACTGAATTATATTAATTTTTAATATTATTAAGAATAGATTTTCTTTCACGAAACAAGTTAAAATCGATCATTAATGAATGTTTGCAGATTTGCATAAAAAGAAGAATGTAAAGTATTTATAAATATGAAGAATTTACCTGATAATTTTTTATTATTACATAGTTTTGTTATGATTTCAGTAGATGTGCTATAACATAATTTTTTACAGAAAAAATTCACATGCACAAAAGGGCAATTGTTCAATGAACGTTGCATAGCTTGATGCTATTTGGGAAAATTCGAACCGTAATAAGAAACAAACAAAACTTCGACAAATTAATATGTTTGTTCATATAGCTATTGCATAGCTACATATATACATGTTTGTTGTTTTTCACATAACAAATATCATCTCTATCCCGCGTGCGAATGCATGACATAATCTTAACCTAATCCTTAATCAATCTTAACCTTAGTTTTTCACGCATGTGTGGAAGATCGAGTTTTGCACAGTGCTGCCAGATTTGAGACGCATATTCCCTCCCTCATGCTGCTTATTGCTTGCGTCTCAAATCTGGCGTCACTGATTATGCGACAACTGTTTTTTTAACTATTTCGAAAGAAAATGGGCATTTTCTAGGATATCTTTAATAGACTGCATTTAGCTTCTAATTATTTCTTTATTTGTATTAATAACAAGTGTCTCAGTTTCATAAAAAAAAAAAAAAAAAACATTCTATCAGAATTTTGCATTTAACATAACAAATAATATTAACATTTATAAAATGCATAATCTCTTTTAACTAAATAAAAAAATATTTTAATCTCTTTTTTTGATTCACTTATAATTATTCCCTATTATCTATATTGTAAACTTACTTACTATTGAACTACTTAATTAAATGAATAAATCATTAAATATTATATGAATTGTTAACATAAATTTAAATAATACTTTACTTTACTTCATTATTGCGAATAATTAGTATATTAATAATAATCTGCAATTTTTATTTAATTCCGTTTAGCTATTAACAACGTTTCCTCATTTTTCCTGTGTTGTTCTGAACAAAGATGACCACGCAACTCCAATAGACCAAATGTTTCTACTTCGCATAACTTGCAGAAAGCGGTAACATTTCTCGCCTTTTGTACATCTCTATCGAAAAATAAAGGAAATAAATATGTGTATATAGCTATGTATAGCTATATATATTGGTAATATATAAAAATTGTTTACATACTCGCAAGCGAGACGCTGCAAATCCGAGAGGTTCTTAAATATTTCTTCCGTCTTTTCATCCTTCTCAAGCAGTGCTAACACTTTATGCAGCGGATATATATCACATTCTCTTGTCGTTTCATTAGTGGGTGGTAAAAAGAATGATTTGTTGTAGCGATTCCAATTCTTAGAAAAATAATCATTATTGTCGTCAATCAGTGGATTTAGCAATTTTCTTTGTCTGTCTCTTAATTCGAGCAAAATACGCTGGAGTCTATTCTGACAGTTTATAATATGATCATTAAAATCGTGGGAATCGTTGTGTAGTTGCATGCCTTCATTTATCCAATAACGCAGTTTATTTATCTGTGAAATAAAGGTGTATAAATTGCTCATCAATATTAATTTTCTGCTCTTATTGTGATAATAATACGAAAACAATATTGTTTGACTATAATAAAAATAATAAAAGAATATAACAGTAAACATTGTAATCTCTAATAATAAAACTAATGAAGTAATCGATAAGGAAGTAAACGTTCGACATACCTCATTCATATCGTCAATAAAAATTTCTACGTCAAATAGAATTTCTATATCGTGATCAGGAAACATAGCTTGCCCGGTAGAATTATCCATCGGGCCCAAACCACACAAGGCTCCTGTGTAGTAAGTTTTCCGGGAGTTGCATCTCAACTCCATGCGCGGCGCAAAACAAAGCACAAGTAATGTCGCGAGTCCGGGAATATTTGGTAAGAATGTTGTGTTTCTTAGAATTAAGTAGTCATTGGATCCTTGACTAACGGTCTGAGCGACCAAAAGACGCCTCGATTGATCGGGATCATCATCCAAGAGAACGGAATTCACGGAATTTAGTTCTACGTTGATCTTTTTTGATCTTCCCGCGAATGTTAGTTGAGTCATTTCTATTTCCAAGGGAGAGTGTGGGCCTTGGAGTATTACGCTAAAGTCGCAGTCTTCTTCTTTGGGTGGTTCAGGATACTAAAATTCATCAGAAATAATATAAGTACATTTTTACATATACATTAAACACACATGTGCGCGCGCGCGTAGTTGACATAAGAAAGATATGCACATTGCATGCATTTTCTCTGCAAATTATTATAAATTATTTTAAATTATTTGGTTTATTAGTTATTAGTTATTTGATGTTGTCAAATTATGTTACTAAATAAAATTCTCATATTAAAATCAATTACTTTACTTACTTTTAATAAGTGATCTTTATCATATTGTTCCTCTTCGTAAAACTCTTTCTCCTCTGTCGACATCGCAGAGATATTATTAATATTCGTCCTTACTTCATGATTATAGTTCGATAAATAATTTTCTTCTTTCCTCACTGCATATCCTTTCTCAATCAAGTCTTCGTTAATATTAAATTTTTCTTTTCTATCATCAAGAACAATCAATTCTAAATTAATAATACTATCAACAATGGAATAAATCTTTCCAAAAATTTGCTGACTTTTTTTAACTTGTGTTCCAAAATAACTTTTTGAAATTTTCGACCATCGACCGTAAGGATTAATTTGATTTGCAGGTCGCAGACAAGCCAAACTGCAACGAAACGCTAAACAAGGAATTTTTGAAATTTCGACGTCATCGATTTCTCTTAGATCGCTAAATCGTATTCGGGAAGAGAATCCGTGATCAATGAAAAAAATATCGATTAATTCTTCGCTTATTGAGGTAAATTCCTCTATTATGGCTCGGTGATAAATGAAAGAATTGTCCTTTTCCATCGGAGCGGCGATTATAGTTGAGATATTGGAAAGAGAAATAAGTTTTTTCAAAGGATGCTCATTGAGTTTTCTTTCAATAAATTGTAGTTTTTCGTAAGTGGCATCGTCATTAAGGATCGACCAGAAATATCCAGGACTAATAATCTAAAAGTATTAATTATATAAAAATCTAAATTTATATTATTTACAAGATAATGAAAATTTAGATAAACTTACGGTTGATATAAATAAAGGTATGAAAGTCACATCAAGCTGCGGCAATTCAGGCCTGATTTTAAGAATATTAATCTCAGTTTTCTTCACACCTCTTTGAAAGAAAAGCCTCCGTTCAAATCTGTGAAGATCATGATGCCTCGCTATTTCATTTGCTTTTTTTGTATTTAACAATTTTATCGCAAATGGCACATTGCATTGCTTCATTTTGACAGCCTAATAAAAAAATATAATAATTAATATTCCAAATATTGTAATAGTGTTATTTTATAATTTTTTTTCTTTTTTGCCTTCGTAATTTATTTAATTTAAAGCTTTTACGAGCAATTATTATATATTTATATGCTACGTGCTTCATTTATATTGTGCAAATAATTACCTGATAGACAAAATTTGATATATTATAAAGGTTTTCATCATTGACTGTCGATTTCTTCTCGCGAAATTGTACGTAAACGCGTGTCGATTTATCAAAAGATACTGCTATTTGTTTTTCTGGGATTCCTTGATACTTAGAGAAAATCTTCTGAATTTTTTGAGCATACAAATATCCCGGTTGATCCATTGGCCAACCTCGTAGATATACTGTTTTTATAGGATCGGCAGCACCCAAACATTTTGTGATATTTTCTTTAAAATCTTCAACATTTCCTGAACGTTTAATAAAGTAATTAGGATAGAATGCTCCTGCGAGAATAACTTGAAGCACGAAGTCACGATCCATAGCTAAAAATAATAAAGAGTTAAATAATAGAGTTAAAAATTAATAAAACTAATTTAAAAACATGATTAAAATGTACCTTGCCAGACGACTTTATTAACTCCGACACTCTCAGTGATGCCTAATCGCTGCAATCTACAAGTAATTTCATTCACCATAACGTCTAATTCGCGTAGAACCTTTGCCTGGATCCCGTTTCTCTGAGCCCATTGTATTTCGGCATGATAACTGCTTAATCGACGGTTTGCTTTTTCATTTTGCCATGCTTTATAAACATGTAGAATGGCGATACAATCGCTATCGGTATTACGAGCCCATTTTCTCCGATTACTATAAGAAGAGACGCTAGGATGACACGACGTGTTAAAAATATCCTTAACGGCCATGCTAGCTCCTAGAATAATAGCGTCTCGTAAAACTCCGAAAACATGACCCAGCATGATTAATTTCGAAATTCGAATGTTGATGGGAAGAAACGCCATTATTCTGCCGAGATCAGTTAATTTTCCGTCATACGGCTGGAAAGAGTTATCCTTATTTACTAAAGCACCGACTTCTTTGAGGGTCATAATAGTAGTCGCCAAATTGAAAAGAGGCGGCGGATCAAGCGAAAGAGAAAGAAGCACACGTGGCTCATCAAGATCAAGAATCTTGGCACGGAGAACGGCAGTAGTGAGAGGAGCATGCATTATTTCTGGAGTGCTCTCATTGTTCAACATATCCTGTAAATTTTATATAAAGCATTAATCGATAAATGTTACATAAGAAAAATTTTCGCATTGTATATAAAGAAAATATTGCGACATTTTCTATAATTTTATAAAACATTCTTATAATGTAAATTATATAAAAACACTAAAAACTCTTAACACAAAATAATCCTTTAAATTTATTACTGAAATTTATTGAATGTAATCTTAAATCTGAAATTTGATATGCAATAGTAAAATAATTTTATGCAAATTTAATGAAAAAGAATATAATAATACTCAATCTTGATTCTTTGTAGTGATATTTTCGATAGTGCATATACATAGATTATAAGTCATTATAAATAAGCTCATACAACTCACTTATTACTTACGTAAAACGCTTTTGGTACTAATCTATAAACTCTGCCATCCATCACACGACCTGTACGACCAGCTCGTTGCTCACAGTTGGCTTTACTTGCCCAATTAAGTTCCAAACTTTCGTAATGAGTGACAGGATCAACTTTAAGCCTCTTCACGAGACAGAAATCTATCACTACAAATTATAAACATGTATTAAATTATAATTATATTATGTATTAACTATTTTTTATTTATCAATAATCAATTATATACACACACACATATATATATATATATATATATTAAAATATCTAATTTATATATATATATATATCACTCTTATTAGACATTATTTTAATACTTTTACTTTTAATATGTATTTCTCTTTGCTGTTAAACTGTAACTGTCTTCCTTTCTCAAAAATTATAATGTAATTAATAAAAATTTTATTTACCATATTTTACATCCGGTACAGTAATACTACTTTCAGCAATATTTGTGGAAAGTATGATGCGTCTATGATCTTTTGGCGGTTTAAGAAAAATAAGATGCTGCTCATCACTAGAAATAAATGAATGCAAAATCAGCAGGTCCCACAATTTATCTTCATGATAAACCGACGACAGATAATTATATAATTCTTGAATTTCATAAATTCCTGGTAAAAATATAAGAACAGCGTGTCTCGTAAAAGATGAATCTGAGTCTTCCTCATTGTCATTTCTATCAATTTCATCTAGAGCATTAATGATAAGCGAGCAAAAGTTAATCATCACTTCAGTGATTTTTGGTTCATTAGCAAACACTTTTGGTATCTGTAAAATACATAAATCTATTGTCACACAATTACATAAATTACACAAATTTTATTTATTAATACTTTACGTTAATACTTTCGCAGTGTTTATTACATGTTATGTTTTACTTGTATTTTGTATCCAATTAAATATAGTGAGCATAGTCAAAAAATTTCCTTATTATTATATTATATTATTTATATCTTTTTATAATTTATACTCACCACTCCTAAATTTTTTATCTCGTCCAAGTAATACGTACAAATCTTAAAAGTTTTGTTTTCCTTAATCTTGATAGTTGGTGCAGGGATCAAATTATTTCCTACTCGACTGGAAAAATACTTTGCAAATCGCGTTTCATTGATCGTTGCTGACATTAGAATAACTTTGACTTGTCTTGAATTTGTTTGTAACAATTTTCTAACAACTAATAAAAGAAAGTCCAAATTTTGATCACGCTCATGAATTTCATCTAATATGACATGAGTAAAATTAAACATATGCTTCTGATGAATCAGATGCTGAAGAAGAATCTCAGTAGTGCAATAAATTAAACGAGTCTCAGATGAGACTTCCTTCTGCATACCTACTTGGTAGCCTACAAGGCTACCAAGAGGCCATCCTCCCTCTTGACTCACTCTTTTAGCAATATTTATTGCAGCTATTCTTCTCGGTTGGGTAACTAAAAAATATAAAAAACAAGATGTAATTTTAATTGGTAAAAATTATAATATACTACCAAAACTTATTAGCATTAATAGTTAACATTTATTATAAGAATTATTAATGTTAATATTATCAGTACATAAATAACTCAAAATTACTACTACTAAGTACATTACTCCTAATAAAATATTAGTAAATTATCAATTAGATTCAAAAAATTACCAAAACTTGTATAAAACAATTATAATTTAGTTTAATATTCCTGCACATAATAAATTAATATTTTAAGAAAAGTAAAAAAAGTAAAGACATATTTGTAATAAGAAAAACTTTGATACAACATATAAGAACTTTACTTTGATCATTCTATTCACTTGTAACAAACTGATTTACAAATGTACCTATAATGTTGCAGTTGATCCTTTTCTTCATACTAGCGTTAAGAATGAGTTGTGGAATTTGAGTAGTCTTTCCACAACCAGTTGGTCCTTTAATGACAACTACAGAATTTGTTTCGATTTGTGATAGTATATCTCCTGTAGAAAAAATGGAAAAATTTTTGGACTGCGAATTGTAACTAAAATTGGACTTTTGATACACTTTTGCTAGATCCTTCACATAGAGCTCTTGCATATTATCTTCTAATCCTTGTAACTTTTCAGTGAATTGAGATTCTTTTCTATCTCTGCTATTTATAAACTGTAAAAATAACACAAAACATATTAAATCAACTTATTATAAGTAAAACAATTTTACTTAACTTTAATATTAATCTTACACTATGAGTTAACACATATTGTTATACATAATAATATATAAACTGAAATAACATATTACTATAAAAAATATATTAAAAATAAATAAGAAATTATATAAATTTCTACCTTTAAACATTTTTCAGCTTCTGCTTCTACATCGTTCATTGCATGAAAAACATCTTCCTTAGATTTAATAGAATAATCGTGTTTTTCATTAAAGGAAGCCATAATGACAAATAATGCTATAGTTTTTATATTAACTGCAAATTATATTAACTTTCTTACACATAAAAGAAATATTCTTAGTAATTTAATGAATATATAAACATAACTTGTTCTTCCTTAGCCATTCTTAGCCTGTTGCAGAAACTTTGTTTGAAACAACCACGTCACTCTTGGGCTGCGTTCGTATACGTTACGTATACTGTAGATACATGCGCACATATGCTCTTTACGAAACGCAGCCTTAATCGGGTCTGATAACTTCGCAGTTATGAAACTGGCCAATCACAGCTTTTCCTCTGAAAAATGAAATGATTGTGATTGGCCAGTTTTATAACTATGAATATTACTAAGCCCGATTAAGGTTGACATGTGAACATAGTCATTGAAACATGGATTGGCATAAACTAGTGTAAATCAATATAGATCGCATAAATCAATAAATCCTCCAATGAACCAATCATCTTTCTAATATATATATAGAAAATGCCAATGTAAATTCTCCTTTACATGTATTTTTTGATGAGTTTTGGAATACACAAATTATATATATATATGAGGATGGTCATGCAATTTTAACATGTTGGCAACACTACATACGTGCACAGCGCGAAGAGCGTGCGCAAAACGAGCTCATCTTAAAAGTGTCCGGCCGCCACTGTCATCTATCTCAAGAGGTAAGTGCCTGGCATTTTCACAACAGTCTATTAAGGAAAATCCGATAAAATTGCAGTGCGAGCACGGCCGTGGTAACGCGTCGTGTGAAATTGTTGTAAAGTACAATAGTGTCACATGCCAATACACGCCATATGACTAGCAAATATGTTCGCGACAGCCGCCGCGTCGTGCGGTCTTTGCGTTGCGCGTCTCACCTGGTCTTATCATGACGACTTCACGCGACGCATTACCGCACCACGGCTCTAGCAATAACCGTCACATGCTGTTTTTCTTCTGTCATGCGAAACTTATTGCGAATGCTACTGTCTGCCGTTCTCTCTCTTTCTCTTGTGGTTATGGCGCGATTTCTCCATTCACGTCAGTGAGATAAACGCCGATTTTCTCATGGCATCATCATATTTATCGCGATCTGAAACTACCTACGGCTATATGTAAGTGTACAGCATAATTTCGTAGTTGTTTATCATATAAACAACTTGTATGTTGTGTTGTATCATACCGCGCCTGTGAGCGTCACAACCATCACCTGTCATGGCGCGCGTCGTCCATACGGCTTGTCCGAGACACGGTGAATTTACGTCTGTTCGTTGCACTTTATCTGATTTCCTTCGAATTTTATTTTCTCATGTTTTTTTCTTCGATACTAGACAAACAAAAGTAACGCATAATAGTTGTGTCCATTTATTTAGAATATAATGGCACAACTCAGCGTAGCTAAAAGAACGGTTAGTCGTTAAATTGACAACTTAACCTAACTCAAATCTTAACCTGTCTATCTACCAACGCAGACATGGTTTAAAATAATGATAGTATAGATTATTTGTCTCAGATTCGAAGTTTAAGATTTATTTCAATATATAATCAAAGACAAAGAACTAGATAAGGCAGAAGTCAAAAGATTTCAATATTAAATTAAAACCATCCATCTTATTGAGAAAAACAATAAACTCGGAAAAATGTGTGATAAGTAAATGCATAATAAATGTGGTATTGTCAACAAGTTGTCGGTTTAACGCGGTTAGATCGTGCTATGGACACGCGCGCGCGCGCGTGTGCATTATACACATACATATGCGGCACGATATATATATGATTGTCACGCAATGGCGACCACCACGCACCATGTTACCAATTGCATTCGCGTACGATCTTTTGCGCGTCATGTTACCAGTCGCGTTTGCCCTCTCGCGCGTCGTGGATTACGTGCAACGAGGGGAAACTGCATTAACAATTTTTGCGCATGCGCAATTGCAATTATTGAACATTGCGCTAGTTTCTTTTCATGAGAGATCAATTTGCAACTGTGATTGAAGGATTATAAGGCACAACACGTCAGTTTGGAAGTACATATTGAATATGTATGTCATCAATTTGCTTACAATAATTGTGAATATAGTTTATTCTCTAATTAATTTTATCAGAAGAAGAAATGGCATAGTCATATAAACTTGTTATGAATATACATCATCATCTATCATATCTTGAATCAATTTTTTGAGGCAGCTAAAAACAAAAGATTTTGGAGTCAAGAGTCCATATAATTGAATTGAAGGTATAATTTGAACAATAAGTTTAATTCGATATACGAATTTGCAGTAAAAATCGATTATGGAGACAAAAATGAGTAAGAAAGAAACAAAAAAGAAATGATGAACACAATGTAGAAAACAGTGGTAGCATGTCGACAAAACACGGATGAGCTAAAAATAGCACAAAGCACAAAACAGAGTGCAACGTGCGGATTATTATGCGAGGCGCGACGCGTTCTCAAAATAACGTCGCTTTTTTTTATATGCTCGTATTTCTTTTCAACAAAATTCGTATAACGAAAGCTTTAAACTTAAAAATTTGCGTAACTCAATTTTCTCACAAAATTAAAGATAATTAATATAATTTTAAATTGTAAATAAATATGATTTTAATATAAAATATCTAGAAATACAAATAATTTATGATTTAAATATACAACTAATCGATAATTATCAATTGACAATTCTTGCGATTGTCTTATCTCAGACTGAGATACTTTGTAAGCATATTACACATACTACACAAGCTTGGCTGTCGAGAGCTCAGACAACCTTGATTAATGATTGAAAATACACTAGCAGAGTTTATGGAAAAACAAGCTTCTATCCTCTCTCTCTCTCTTCTCCAAAACCGCACATTTTTTTCTCACGGTAAAATCAAATCAAATTGAATTAAAAATCGAACTTCATTAAACTTTATAAATAAATCCAAACTTTAATATTACGAAAATAAACATACTACAAAGTTTCAGATAACATATAGTTATTTCCAAAAAAACAATTCGGATGCAAATGCTCCAAATTTGCATGTATTTTACTCTCAATACTCTAACCTTGTTATTCGAAAGTGTTGCATAGCGATGGATACGTGTACAAATGTACGTGCACATCGCCAAGAGTGGTTCTGAAGGAAAACGAGTTTGTTACGAGTGCATATCTCCATGTCTTTCTCGCTATCAGCCAATCGAGATTGTGGATTCTGCCACACCCCCCGCTCAGTCTCCGTTGGGTGGCTGTTTGGTCATGACGTCGCTGACCTGCTTTTGAAATTCGGTAAACAAGATCTCGCGAGAGAGCCAGCAAACTACTTGGTAATAATATATATATAATATGAATAAAAGTAAACAAATCGCTTAGTACGAATTACTAAAAATGATTAAAAAGATAACTGCGTATCACACAATATCCGATTATTAGCATTTTCAAATGAGGATTAATATTGTCGAAAAATTGGAAAAAGGTGTATAGAAGTGATAATTAACGAATTATGAATTTTGAAGTAAAATATATATTTATGAATGTTACTTCTGTTTTAAAAAAATAATATTAAATAAATAAATGTGAATACGCACGCGTGAATAGATAAAATGGTTTGTCCTCCCAGATTGATCAAATTTTATTGTAGAAGACGAGCAGAGTAAAATTTAGCGGATAAGATAATTTTATCCAGTTATTTTGAGAATGAACTTCTCTTAATTTGTGCAACAAGAAATTTTATTTGCGCAGAACATAATCGGTAATGGCACTGGACATTGAAGAAAAGAATGGAGGGGAAGAAAGAATTTGGAGACGCAGTGATGCGGAGTGAAGTTATCGCAGGGACAGGAGGGGGATTAGCATCGCGTGTATACGTATCTTTTATAAGTCTATGATCGGTGGTGGAAAGAAAGGGGAAGATGCGCATGCGTATATCACTTGACGACGTTTTCCGGTGCGCGCGTAGCACAGCCACGCTTCTCCATGTTGTACGCGCGTCACGTCGGTTGCTGAGCTTGATATCGTAAACAAGCGCACGTTATAGCGCTAAGTTTCTTTTGGGAAGTCTATTGGTTATTGGAAATAAGTTTCCAATCACTGAGAAAAGGCAAGTGAAACGGTACTGCTTTATCTTAAGAAAAATAGATTGTCTCTTTTATTTGGGGAACAAGTAGCTAAATTGAATTGGCATTGTTTTTGATATATTTGATAACATTTGCTTTTCGATATCAACAGTGTTAATTTTGTTTTATAGAAAGTAAGGTGAAAGAGTGCTGCTGTGTCCTAAAAGGACACATCCATTTAAAAAAATAAGTGGCCGAATTGAAACGGCGTCACTTTGACACATCTGGGACCTTTTTGCTTTTATCATTAACAGTGCGATTCGGAAAAAAAGAATATTATAAAAAGGAAGGTGAAGGAGCGTTGTTGCATCTCCAAAAAGGACTAATACTTATTTTGGAAAGAGAACTTCTGTTGAGTCGGCATTGGTTTGGACATATTTGGCAAAAGTGCTCTTCGCTTTTGACTTTAACAGTATTAATACTCGAAAAAAGGGGGATTAAGAAACTGAAAGCTGTGTGTCGAAAAATATTTGCATTTTATAAGAAGAAAACAAGTGACTGTTCCGGCGTCGGTTGTAATACATTTGGCAACAGTGTTTTTCGCCGACATAGTATTGGCTTCCAGTCGCGAGATTTTCGAATCTCGAATTCATCGGTGTCTTCAACGAAACATGACGCTAGTCGCAAGTGCGCTCAATAAAATTAGCGGTCATTGTGATAATATTGATACATACGTGATATTATTTTCGTATTTGTTGCTACGGCCATATTTTTTGGACACTTCATCCACATCTTTGTTACTTCGTGAACTTCAGGCATGTTCAATTTCAAGTATCAAGTTTAGTGTTTGCATACTATGTAATTTTGTGGTGTTTTATATCGTGTAAAATTTGCAGAAAATCTATTCTTATAAATTATTTATATTTATGAGAAATGTAAATTTTATAAAATTTTACACATATATTTTTGTTGTATATTTAATTAACATCAAATTTTCATTATTTTACAAATTTCAAAAACTAAAATATTATGGAAAAGAGAAAAAATAAACTAAAATATAGATATGATCAAATTATAGGGAAAAATTTACATATATTCTACAATTAGCCAGAAATCTATAATACAATTTACAAAAAGTTATGCATATATGTATGTATATAATAACAAATGCTGTTATTTATATTATAAAAGATATAATATTTTACAAAAACTTATTGATATATTTACATTGTTACATGGTCTAATGTATTTATCTGCTTTTTTTAAATTGCAGAAACGATAGTGACTTATCCAGCAGGCAGGATGTTCAGTTTTCATAAACCAAAGGTGTATCGATCTAGTACGGGCTGCTGCATTTGTAAAGCTAAATCTAGCAGGTAGAAATAATTTCATAAATATTTATTCATGTATTTACACATGCATTTATACACAGCACATATTTACCCACAATTAATATTAATTTTAATTTTATAAAAATTGTTATAAATTTTTTTACAGCTCAAGATTTACAGACAGCAAAAAGTATGAGGATGATTTTATGCCATGTTTTCAACTCGAGGAAAGGCGTAGTGGGGAAATATGCAATGCATGTGTACTTCTAGTAAAGAGATTTAAGAAACTGCCTCCAGGAAGCAATCGACACTGGAGACATGTAAGTCTTCTAATTACTATTGACAAATTATTAGGCTATCAATATTAACATTAAATTTTAATGATACAAAATTATATAAATTAAGAATAATGTTTCAATAATCAATAATGAATTGAAAATATTATTGATGTTAGTTTAATAAAAAAAAAGTACATTATTTGCAATAATTTTGTTTTGTAAATAATACATCTTTTTCTGCTATAAAAAGGCCTTATTTGAAAAGGTTTAAAATATTACACAATATAAAAACAATATAATTCTATAATTCTATAATTATATAATAAATTATTTTTATCCATAAGAAAAAAATTTGTTTACAGGTTGTGGACGCGCGCGCCGGTCCTGGAATCAAATCGCTAACAAAATTTAAAGCAAAAAATAAAAGGAAGCTTAAAGATAAACCTGACAAATTTATCAAGAAGAAACATACATATATAAAAACAGAAGCCGATCGAGAACAAAGTCCGGCGATGAGCGATGATTTGACTGGTTAGTTATAAGTTTGTGATTAAAAATAAGATTTTATTTATAAATTATTTATGATACATATAAAGAGCAAAATTACACTTCTTTGTCTGTATTAAAATACGAGAATTATATTTTAGATATCTCTGATTTTTACAAATATAAGTAAACAAATTATTTCGAAAAAATTGGAGGAATATTATAAACAAATCTTGTAAAATTTAAAAGAAAAAGTCAAATTTTCTTATTAGTAGCAAAAACAACACTTTTTATAAGAATATAATAAAATGCAGTAAAAGATTAATATTGATATATTAATGGTTTATAATAAAAATAATAATAAATATGACCGTTGATATTAATATCTATTTCAATTTTTTATTATTGCAGAAGATTACAGATTAACAGACAGTAAAGCTTCAAGTAGATCGGAAAGCGCTTCCGATGATGAAGACGTTGGCACAAATGAGAAACAATTGGATCTTGCTTCTGAAGATCAAAATATGACAGAAGACGATTCTAATTTTCATTGATCTATCATACTACAAAAGGTAACATCAAGATCAGCTTTTACAGATTATTTAAATATATAATATGAAAAACTTTAATAACTTAAATAACATAAAAATTTTTAGAAATTTTATATAAATTGTTTAAAAATTTTGAAATTAAAAACATTAAGTAACATAAGTTTGAAGAACATGGAAAAAAATATGATAAATTTTAGAGATTCTAGGAATTTTAAAAGTAAATTTGAAAAATTTTAACATCTTAAAAATATTGTAAATTTTGTAAAAACGTTGCATAGAACTGGAATTTTTGAGAATATAACATTTTATGTATAATAACTCAATATTTTTATTTGTTTTTGTGTTTTTGATATCTATTATATTTTATATCAATTTTTTTTCAATCTTTGCATTTATTATAGATTTTTATTTCACAGGCAAATGATCTGTTGCGGAAGCATTTTCAAGGGTGCCTATGGTGAGGTAATAATGTGTCCTCCTTTTCTCAAACCTTGCACTTTGCTCACCAGGCAGCTCGTTACTTCTTTGACATCTGCCAGTCCTATTCATAGTTCCGCATCCGCCAGTCCTGCTCATAGTGTTGAATCTACATCATCAAGTCCAGAAACAAATTCTAAACAAAGTACCAAGACCTTCAGTGATTCGTCATCCGATTCCGGTTACGACGAGTCTTCCAATCAGTACGAGAGCAAGATAGCGAAGAACGTCCAGGTCAAAGAGGATGTGGAGATGATGGAGGAGGCTGTGAGACCCATTGAGCTAGATCAGTTATCTAGCTGCAAATCATTGCAAGTCGTCAAGGTTACTAATCAATCACTCCAGTCGATCTCCAATTAATGTCGGCCCTTTGTAGAGGGTTAATTTATTCTTTTCCTTCTGAGAAAACACACACGCATAAATATGTACATACATATACAAGATATCCATAAGAACCGTTAGATAATTTTTTTACTTACAACTTTTAATTAGAATTGCAATTTAAAAGTCTAGTTTTTTCTCTCTCTTGGTAAAAATTTTTAATTTTTAATCTAAAATTTTTAGTTTAAAATGATTTCTTCTGGCTATTTAAGTTGTAAGATAATCTCTTAATCGCAATGTGGTTAAAACTTCAATTAAAAAATTTTTACTTTGAAAGATTTTAAAAAATTTTTCTTTAAAAGATTTAAATTTTTTTGTTTTTTTTTGTTTTTTAATTCTAAGATACATGGAAGCATTATTTATATTCTATTTTGGCAACATTTACTTATCTAAATTATTTTAATTCTTAAATGTTACTTTATACTTTTAAGCCTTACACTATATGTTCATTAAAATCTTATAATTTCGCAGAACATAATTTTTTTCAAAATGAATATATTTTGATATCTTTTCAATTTATCGCGGAACAAATGGATTATCCTGTATATATAGATAGATTTAAGCTTAGATTAATTAAGTGTATCATCCCCTGAAGTGCAGCAAAATAGCTCCGGAAAGGTTTAGATCTTCATTTTGAAGATTCAAATGCCATTTGGATGCAATTTATCGTGTTAAGAATAATTCGTTAAGTTTTGCGATGAACTGACGTAAACCGCCGCTTCTCGAGCCAATATAATCTTTAAGTCTTAAAGTTTAGCAATATAAACACATCAAAGTACTGTGATGATATTGTAAAGTGAGAGGCGCTCACAGATTTCTTACGCCGATTTGAGCTGGCGGTTTACGCTCTCGCCTTTTTAACACGTCAAGTGCCACCACTTAAGGGGAAAGACGTAAACAGAATGTGCTGGAACAATCAAAGATAGTAAAAAAAGTTGCAATAAAATAATGAAGTAAATGTTGACTTTGATTGAAAGTCTAATTTGTGAAGATAGTTATTGAATCGTTGGATACAAAATATCGGATTTCGAGAGATTCAACTTTCCATAGAATTCTCTTTAATATTTTTAAGTTTTCTACATTAAATCAGATTGAAATTATGATAATGGCTTATTCTAAGAAGTATAAAAAAAGTACCGAATCTTTTCTGTTGTATGTTTTATTTTTTTTTTTAGGAATTATCTTAAAATTTTGGATGTCATTTTATTATGCCTAACGATTTAATAATTTAACACTTGACTATAACAATATATAGAGTAAAACGTTGAAATTTCAGTATTTTTACGAAGAAAAATTAATGAAAAAGGTTGATTGTTAAGAAAAACATTCTATGATTGTTGCGGAACACTCTGTACAAGCTTCCAAGCTGCCAATCTATTCTCGTCTGGGTCCAAAAGAGGAAGATAAAGAGGAAAGAGGCGAGTTTCTGCATTTACTTCCGGATCACTGCGCTCCATGACGTAAATTAATTAATAGCGGTCATCGACGACCCAGGTCGATAGCAATAAATACAAATGTTCATAGAGCGGGGCGACTGATGAGATCCATTTTTAGTCTGTATTTAGACAGTATTAGTAGAAAGATGTCGGAAATATAGATAGAAAAGTTAAAAGTGGCAATCAGATTGGCAAACTGGACCAGCGAATTTTTGTTCGGTATAGTTAATATTTTAGAAGATATAATACTTAGATATATTTCTATAGATAAGCAGAGATGAATAAGAGGAGAGAAAGGGGTAAATACTAAAGTAAAAACTGTTGGTTCCTAGTTAACAAAGAAGAGATGGGCACGCTTTGCATGTTTAGCGCAAAGTTTGTTCAATCCTCATTTGATATGGAATATTTTAAACAATCTTTTCATCATCTACGAATTTTTGCACTATCAGTGCCACCTTAGAGTCTATTTCTTTTTTCTAGAAGAAAGATAAACTGCAAAGAAAGATTGACTTCAAATTACTTGAAAAGTCCAGATGTGAAATTGTTTTACTAGAATTTGAGCTCATATTCAAACAGAGGTCCATACATAGAGTATTGTACAAACGAAGAGAGGATAGTCGAAGATTGTTAATTGACTTAAAAATGAAAAACGGTTCTTTAAAAATTAGAAAAATTTCAAATCGACAAAATAATTACAATTTTTTAGGGCTGTGTTTTTCGCTTCTGATTAAAATTCTTTAATTATGAACATTTATGTTTTATATTGAATGCTATAATAACGATAATAACGATAATAAAAATAATTATCCATAATTGAAAAATTTTAATTTACATCATTTGCGACTATTCTCTTGACATATGTTAGCGCTAAACGCGGGAGGGAAAGACGGGCTAAAAAATGTACAAGCCGAGTACCTGCTGAGAACAAGCCGTAACTGTGATCGTGGGGTTGTTTTCAGAATTCTTTCCGCTCTAATTTCACGCACAATGGAAAAAGAAAATCAACCATTCGACGAAATTCGAGTATAATTCGAGATAATGTGTCTGTTGCAATAAATTAAAATTATTTAGTTCTGTTTAATATATTATGTTGATCAAGTTTGCTGAGATTTTCTATCTTAGTTAATTAATTTAAAGGGAATATAGATAATATAAAGAAATGAATAGATCAACCTAATATTTAAACAGATTCGTTAAAATCTGGAGTTATATAGCTATAGAAGCGAAGATCTATGTAATCACATTTAAGTGAGCCGAGAATTGATAGACCGTGAAATTAAACATCCGTAGAATGATTAATTTTTCACAGTGTATTAAGGATTCATTTTGTTCAATCATTCTTTTAAAGTGATACATATTGCTTATTTACAGTGATATATGAAATATTTGAATACTCAGAAATGCAGTATATTTTTGTTATTTATGTGCAGGGATAAACCACGGACTTATAAATTATTATATTTGGAAAGAGGAAAAAAGGGAAATATAATGACTCCCAGCTGAAAAGTTGGATCTGATCTGAATGCGAAAGTAAGAAATGTGCAATACACATTGTCGATCCCGTCCAGCATTAAGTGAGTCATTATTTTTTTTATTTTTTGTCTTATTCGACAAGATATGAAATCTCGAGCTGTTCTCGAAAAATTCTTCCAACAATATAATAATCAAATTTTCGAGTTTTGACGGCGTTACTTGCTTATAACGGTAGACCCAAAAACAGTGGTTATTTTAAAATTAATAAATTAAAATTAGAATATTAAATTAAATTTGAAAATATTATATATTAAATATGTTAGAGTCGAAATTTTTTTATATTAACTAAAATTTTAAATAATTTATATAAAATTAAAAAAGAAATTAAAATTAAAGATAATGTATATAATCGCCGGCGATTATATACATTAAATTATATGTTGAGAATCTCCTGGAATATAAATTTTTGGATCTACCGTTGAGTTTAACCGTCATCGGAAAAATCGGGGAAGGCTCGTTTTGCCCATTGAATTTGCGAAGGCTTATCGACAATCGTATAATAATATAACAAGGAAACGATAACAGTTTTTTCATAATCAAACATCGAAAAGTCTGATCTATCGAAGGACGATGCGCATTGATCGCCTTTTCCCGCGATAGATCGTATTTGTACATTTTTTGTATGATCTCTACGATTTCTTTTACTGTGAGATATAATATTGATAATTATTATATCATCTTATTATGATTTATCATAGTTAATATGCGCGACAATCGAAGCTGAATCATATAGCAAACTTAAATTGAAATTTATGTTTAACAATGTTTTCATAAGTCTGAAAAACTTGGCAAAGTTCTTAAAAAATTCAGTGCTATGATTCCGTTTCGATGGAAAAAACGAAAATCGTCTCTTTTATTTATTTATTTCATTAATCGACATGGAACTAAGTTTAATATTCCTTTTTTCTATGTATATTTATACATATTGTATACACATATATTTTTATACGGATTAATGATCTTCGTGATTTCTTTAACACGTAATTTTTTTAACACTGCCAGGAAATAAAACGCGTGGTTATCAGCGAGAGATAATCAGCGAAATGGCAATGGCTTGCAATATGTCATGGAAATTATTTATTCTTTGTCTCTTAAGTAATCAATCAACAATAATTGATATAAATTATTTAATATAAGCTATTTAATTGACATTAATTGATTAATATTAATAAATATTGTCAACATATTTCAATGATACCAATAGAATTGATATTAATCAATTAATATTAATTATTAGTTAATATTAAACAGATATTGAACTAGAGAAGAAATTGCAAAGCGATTTTACATTTAAATACGGTGTGATAAATGACGTATCAATACGATAATAGAAAAATATCCGAGTATATTCAATGTAATACTCGAGTTTTAAAGGAATGAAGCAAAAACAATTAGATTGTAAATTAAAAATTTATTGAGTAGATTATATGAGAGTGTATAATATTGTATAAAAATACACAAGTACATGATACAAAATTTACAATAGAAAGATACAGGATAATATATAATAAATATACATAACGTACAATAATGATAGAAAAATAGGAAAGTTATATTACTATCGCGGTGACAACTGTAAAAGGAGCAAAAGATCAACAGAGTTATTTAAATTAAAAATATCTTTGCAATTGTAAAATTTCTGCAAAATTATACACAAAAATTTCAACTAGTTTCTTAAATTGTAAAATTCCTACATAAGTAATTTTACATTTTAAGATATTTTAAGATTTTAATGTGACTAACTGTTGAGAGTTACAATTGTGCACTTCAGACTTGTTGCAAAAATAATAATTTTGCAGCAAAGAATATTATATTAATAACACATCCTAAAAAACGCGTGTCAGCTCCTTGTCAGTAGTTGATCCGTCGATATCGATTCATCAATTTACAATAAATCTAATCATTACTTTAACCAACAAATTCTTGGCATCTCAAGATAGTAAGCGTTCAATTCTTTTCACTTTTATATGATTAATAACTAATTCGCGAGAACACACGCAACAATGGCAATCATTATCGTCAAGAATAAAAAATTCTCGAATTGAAGTTTATACTAGATTGATAAAGAAATTTGCACGTTTTAGTTTCTTTCTAATCTAAATTTTTTTATCAATCTGAATAGACGAAATGTAAATGATAAATGAATGAATGTTTATCATAATAATAGATAAACCGGATCGTGTTCAAGCAAAATTTTTGATACATGCATTTTCTATAAATATTTGTAAAAAAAATTGCATATTTATCATAATAGAATATTCGCTGTAAAATGAAATAAAAAAAGCGCGTGTTCTCGCGGTACAAATTAATTAATAATAATCTAAGGACGGAGGATCTAATCGAATAATGATTTATTCGAAGGTGTAGCAATGCGATTTATATCTCTCAAGTTTTTGCAAAAGTTTCGGGATTTTGAGACTTTTATATATTATAAACTTTAATAGCGGAAGAATATTTAGAAGTAATGAACTTAATGGAGTTTAATAAAATAAAAGTGAAATGTTTCATATATAAAGATTTTAAACATTTAATTAGAGGAAATTGTTTTTTATATCTATTTTATTGAAACTATAATTTATTTTAAATTTTATATATTTTTAAAAACTTTTTTAAATTTAAAACAAATTTATTAAAATTTTGTAGATTAAATAGTTAACAATATTAATATAAATTTAGTAAATCTGATTTTTTTCATATATATATAACATGATATTTATAACAAAGATTTTTTTTTTAATTCTCTTGAAGTTATATCAACTTGGAAATTAAGAGAATGCCTGCTCAATTAAAATAAAATAAGAATGGAAAGAAAACAGAAATGCACTATTTGCAATATTAGAAGATATATTTATGTGTTATAAGAGAAAAGATATGAATATATGTATCCTGTTAAGTAAATATATCTTTTAGCAAATAGGGCTAATAAAATTTCTCTTCTCTATTATACTAATACATGAACACAAGAAATGAACTTTCATCGATCTATAATTAGATGATAAAGAAATTATAAAAAAAAGGGAAGTTGAAATTTCTAAATACCTTTGAGACTTTTTATATCTCGGAAACCCGGAAGCTTTTGTAATAAATTTAAGTGAGGATTAAAGATGAAATTTTTGCATAAACACTAAATATAACGATTGTGAGACTGATCAATATATTTAGCAGATAACTTTAATTATGATGATATATATGTATATGAGTGTGTGTGTGTGTATATATATATATCATCGTAATCTTGATTGTGTGTATGTATGTGAGTATAGTGGACAAGATAATTCGATTAATTATTTGTGCAAATATATCGTGAAGCTCTACCGACGACAAAATCGACGACTGCCGTAGAAATAATATATCACTAATATATTATGTTTATTAAAAAATTCATTCGTTTTTTTTTACAAATAAAGTTAATAATGAAACAAAATGATTATAAATGGAATAATGAAAAACAAGGTCAATAAAAGAAGGAAAAGAAACGAATGAACTTTTGGACTAATCTACTATTATTATCTCGTTATAATTATTATATTGCATATATATATATATACATATATATATACAGCGCATTTGTATATATGTATGTATGTGTGAAATAATTCTGATCATTGTGTATAATTATGAATATTATATATTGTGTATATTTATAGCAGATATTACGTCGACGATAATCTCGTCGGTTCTCATGGGCCAAAAATCTTTGGAACTTTGGCCGAAATATTTTGTGCAACAGACGGGACGATCGGTCCTTTTTTTATAATAAGGAAGAAATACGCCACCTTGTATCTATGTACAACTTTGTAATAAATCAGTTCATTTATAAATGATTTTGTTTCTTAATTGAAACTTTTATTTTAAATTGTTTTTTTATTTTAGTTTCAGTATATTTTGGACTACGAGACGCGTGTTCATCCCGCGTTGAGAAGTTTTTTTATGTCATCTAATCAGTAGATTTTATCATCGATAAGGTATATACCCGAGCATACCAGCGGAGAAAATTACATACGGCAATCGGATTCTATTCTTCTCTCACCAGATGTCACCAGCATCAATCATCGGCATTGTGTATGTATGTGTGTATGACAATTTTGTGATCGCAATTTGCTCTTTTGGCCCTTCGTGTTGTGTCCTCTTATCCTAAAATTATCAAGGATACGAAAATCTGTCAGAAATATGATTAATCGCGTTCGGCCGCGCCTCGTGACTTTCGATGTGACCGGCACACTCTTGATGACCAAGCTCGAAGAACATTATGTCGAAATTGGCTCTCAGCACGGTTTGTTGATCGAACCGAGAAAATTGGCGCGAAGTTTTAAGAATAATTTAGCGCAACTTAGTCGAGAGCATCCGATATATGGCAAACATACCGGATTGGGATGGAAAAATTGGTGGAGAACGATTGTGCATAATGTATTCAGGGATCAATACGTTTCTGTATCGAAAGATACATTAGATAAGGTATATATAATACTGCTGACAATCATGCAAATAAAATATTTAATAGTATTATATATAGAATACTTAATATAATAATTGCAAAAGTGAGAAAATCTAATTTTAAAAGTAAATTTTAATCGAGAAAATTATTTTTATTTATATTATATTTTATTATATTACCTACTGTTTGTTTAAAATATTTCGATTGCTCTGTAAACAAAAATTAATGTTAACTTTTAATATAATCTTTATTTTTATATTTATATATAACTTTTATTATGTTTATTTGAATTTAGTTTACACAATTTACATATATGTTTTTATACTCTAAATACTTGATGTCAAAATTTTTATTCTCGCTTTATGAATGAATCTCTATTATCATCGACCCTGTTATCATTCTCAGGTCGCTGACAGCTTGATAAGTTGCTATGGCACCAGCAAGTGTTGGTACAAGTATCCTGGCACCATTGATCTACTCAAATTTCTGAAGGAAAGAGATGTTATTTTGGGTGTTATTTCAAATTTTGATGAACGATTGGAATCGATTCTCAAAGACACCCAAATTCGTCAGTATTTTACTTTTGTTTTGACTTCATACGACTTTGGAATGGAAAAGCCAAACTTACCAATTTTTGAGGAAGCATTAAGATTAGTGAAGTACATTCAAAGGCAAGAAATATTGCCTCAAGAAGCAATACATATTGGTGATGGAGTAGATAACGATTATTTTGGGGCAAAAAATGCAGGTTGGAATGCTTTATTGATTAAACATCATGATAATGAAATTGATGAGAGCAAATTGTCTAAAGATGATGTTTTTACAAGTTTAAAAGAGCTTCAAAGACACTTTAAAAAAACTCTTGGAACAAATTATGTTGTGTGATAATATTATTTACTATTCTAAAAATATTAGATTTTTGTAATAATGTAAAATGATTATATTTTATAGCATTGTATAATAATGATAGTGAGAAAATCACAGAGTGATAAAACTTGAATATGCAGATTTGATTTTGTTTTTTGATTTTGAATATTTTAATCTTAATTTTTTGTTTCAATCTTTGTATTTGGATATTCAAATTTGTTTTTGTTTTTGCCATACTGTACATGTACCTTTGTATTTTTGATGTATTACACAAATTGATACTGCTCATTGCAGACTTACTAAGAAAATTATAAAGAGCCGATATGATTCTAATAAACAATACAAATAATTCAAAATTAAGAAAAACGTTTGTATTTCCTGAACATTAAAGATGATTCCATAGAAACATTAAAATGGATCAATCTGAGTGGCAATTTACAGTGATTGTGAATGATGAAGATGTAATAATACGGAACAAAGTTGGATATAGCCATCCGATATATCATTGCACCCGGAAACAGCGTGAGCGATATCACACCCACATATCTGGTACACATTAGCTATATCGTACTACGTTCTTTTAAATATTCTAATGTTTTTAATGAAAATAAACTATTCGGATTGCTCTAAATTTTTGTAGGGAATATACTTTTGTACGAACCGTGATTAGCAGCGTAGGCGGGATACCTTCTGTGACGTCACGTGTGAGCGAAGCGGCGCGGTGAGGGTAGCGAGGAGGACAGACGCGTGTGAGCGGCGCGCCGTTACTCGTCGGTGGTCTACGGTGAAGTGAGTTCACGCGTTGCACAGCATCCAATTCCTGGAAAATTATTGGGGAACAGACGATCGATAACGCGATCGTTCGACGATGATGATCTTCGTTCATGGGTGTGCTGCCTGATTTCAGACATAATCTTTTATTTTGGATTGGTAAACAGTGAGACGGCTTAGTGATTGAACAAAGCAAAGTATATTTTTTTTTCGAGGATAAAATGAGACTGTGCATGATATGGGGCTTCCTATTCCTTATGGGGAGACACATCGTCTTAGCCGATCCCGAAGCCGATCCATCGGAGGAGTTATTGAATCGATTCCACCAGCCCAAAAATCACAAGGAAGACAAATGTTACGATGAGAACGGCAGACCGCAGGTTTGTATTAAATGTTTACATTATTTGTGTGCACAATAGATGAAAAGACGTATTTGCATATCCCATCTTTTTGGAGATAAAATCATGCATAAAAAATGTTGCGAAATATTTTATTCATTGTATTAATATAAGTGGAAACAATATAATCTTTGAAATATCGTTTATAGTGTTACATTCTATTTCCGTTACAAAATTACTTTAAAAAATAGGATGTGCCAATGTTTTTTAATCTATATACGAATAGAACTATATTTTATAATTATTAATACATATATAATTATCTACGTAATATAAGTATATAAATTATCTTCTATATCAATTGTTTGTAGAAATATTTGTATTATTTATGTGTGTCAAAATAAATAATATAATGCTTTATGCAAAAACAATATCTATTGTACAGAACATGAGTTATATAAAATTAATTTTGTTGCATGAAATTAATTTTTCTATACATATAACAAATATATTTCTTTAAAAAGTTTTAATATTTTCTTAATTTATTATTATTACTTATAATATTTCATAGTTTCTTACGTAGCATTTATGATCTTGGTTGAATTCTAAATCGAACCGGCACCATTCAGTAGCTTTGAATTTCGGGAAGATGTTAAAGGGTTATCGTGGGGTTATTCACGAGTTATTTGAACTCTCGCAAAGATAATTATGCGAACGATAAAATAAATGGAAAGATATTCTTTTATATATATTCTGTGAGATATATCTTTTTAAAAATAGAACTCTTTCTATTTCAATCAACTGTGTGTCAAGTATAAAAACACTCGATTTAATTTAATTATTTATGCAAATAAATATTATTTAATTTTACAATTTTTCTAATAACTATTTATTAATTGGTAAAGTAGTTTTCGTTTATATATAATAATCGATAGTTTTCGTGTTACAAACGATTGAGGAAGAAGGGCTATGAACAAATTTGAAACTTTGAAACAAATAAAACAACAGAGTTCAGTTAGTTTCAAATAATTTTTAATATAGAATTTAATAGAATTTTAATTTAAAATTAAAATTAGTTACAAAGATTTATGTTAATTATATAAATTGGCATAATACTATCGAAATAAATTAGTTTTGAATAGATATTACAAAACGTTGAACGTGTTTCAGAGATGCATACCAGCGTTCGAGAACGCAGCTTTCAACGTGCTTATGGAGGCGACCAACACGTGTGGCGAGGAACGTCCTATCGAGTTCTGCAAGCAGACGGGCGTGCAGAATAAGTCATGCGAAATCTGCCGATACGGCGACCACTCGGCATCTTTTCTTACTGATCACGATAACAACGACAATGCTACCTGGTGGCAGTCCGACACTTTATACGAGGGTATCGATATTGACCCTACTCAGGTCAATCTCACCCTTCACTTGGGTACGTTCTTTTGTCGTAATATATTCGGAACACCCTGTAGAGAAATCTGTATATCACAGAGGGACATTTATTTATCTTTAGTACTATCTTTCTCTCTCTGTGTGTCTCTCTTTTTCTCTTTCTCTTCGCTTCTCTCTTGGTCTCATCCTACTTCCTTATCTATGAGGATGTGTGTATGATGAGATAAATTGTGCAGCGTGTAACTGATGATGGAGAAATCGCGAATGACTTCTCGAGAATTTTAGCAGCAAATTTATTCTTCTAAAATAATTTTTAATTGCGATTTTGTCTTTAGGATTTTAATTTAGAGCAAATTGGAATATTTTAAATTTTATAAAATTTATCTGCCGTATATTTACGGTGACAGTCTTAGATAAATTATTTAAATATTTAATTAAATGTAATTACATTGTTTTATTATTCAATTTAATAGCTTAATTTCTAATCTAATTCAGTTCAATTTAGTGTGAATTCAATTTAACATAAATTTAATAAGAGTTCTATCTACCGTTTTTGTCGTTTAGTCGGTTTTAAATTTTTCTCATGAATCAACGAGAGAAGAGGGGATAGAAGGACGGAGATAAAAAGAGAATAGTATACGCTATGGTTGAAATTACAATCTGTACACCATATGTTTATTCATCAAAATATTCGCTTTCATCTTACATTTTTTTCTTATATCCTGTTACTTTTATATCAGCAATGGCATAGCTTAAAAGGCGACATTTTTATGTTTCAAAATGTGTACCTACCTAATAATTTAAACATGTGCAATAATTCTGATAGTAGTGTTATTTTAATCATCTTCAAATCTCTGATACTCGTTAGAAATATTACTTTTTGGTCATGGCCTGATGACTTGTAAAAAAAATAATTTTATTTTTTATATTTATTCTTAACGTCTTACGTCTATATTTTTCCTCACGGCAATATAATTAAAGTATGAACAATATATAATTAGATTAAATATGTTTAGGCAAAACGTTTGACATAACGTATGTCAGAGTGCTATTCGAGTCACCACGGCCGGAGAGTTGGGGTATCTACAAACGAAAGAATGAGAAGTCATCGTGGGAACCTTATCAGTTTTACTCGGCATCATGCCGGGACACGTACGAGCTGCCAGAATCTAAAGAGACCGTGCGCGGCGAAGACACCCGCGTGCTGTGCACCTCTGAATTCTCCGATATCTCGCCACTCATCAAGGGCACCGTTGCCTTCTCGACTTTGGAGGGCCGACCGTCTGCATATTACTTCGAAACCAATCCTGAACTTCAAGTAACTCGCAACAATTAAAAATAATATTAAAGTATAGTCTATAGAATTTAGAAAAATAATCTTAAACAAGTTATTGCGATTTTTTTACATTAAAAATCGATTGGAAATTAATCTATTTTTGTTAAAGAGAGTAGAGGATTTATGTTATAATAGGATTTATAGCTATAATATATCAATAATTGGAATTAAAACTGTAAACTGTAAAACACTGTAGGAATTCTTAATCATAAGCTTGTGAATGTTTAAATTAGAAATTAACTGATTGTGTTTTTAAAACTTATATTTAAATGAGAAATCTTGTAAATAGTTTCGAGGATTTTTTTATTGTTTAATATAGGAGTCACTCTTTTTAATTAGCAACTGATTAAATCCACTTTTTCACAGATTTTGCCTTTGTTTATCATAGTTATCTAATGGGTGACATACGTATGTGATTCTTTTATAGGAATGGGTGCAAGCAACGGACTTGAGGATCACCTTGGACAGATTAAACACGTTTGGCGACGAAGTTTTCGGCGATGCGCAAGTGTTGAAATCTTACTATTATGCGATAGCTGACATAGCAGTTGGCGCAAGATGCGCTTGTAACGGCCACGCCGGAGAATGCGTGAACAGCACCAGTGTCGACGGCAGAACTCGTAGAGTTTGCCGGTAATTATTTCTATTTTTTTATATGCGTTAAACGATTTCAATTAGCACTGCATTAGAGCTATATTTTTAAATAATAAACACAATAACTTATCTCGTTGGAGTGATAATAAGAATTAAACTCTGTAATAGTTATTACACAACGGCAATATTTTCTAATTCCAGATAAAAGAATTCTTATTTCTTAACAATAACGTATAATAATTTTCTGCAAAATCGTGAGTAATGCTACAATACAGCTAGAAAAACTGAACTTGTTTGTAGGTGTGAACATAATACCGCTGGTCCAGACTGCAACGAATGCTTACCTTTTTACAACGATGCTCCTTGGGGACGTGCCACGACTACGGACGCACATGAATGCAAACGTAAGTATTTAATATACATATATTTAAACACACACTCATGTTTATATATATTGTACACTTTCTTATGTTACAATTAAAATATATGCAGGTTTACCATCAGCACACATTAGTGTACACATAGTAGCTTTTGTACATTGCAATTTTTTCATAAATATTGGAGATCAATGAGCACATAAATATTAAAATTAATAAAAAAAAGCTATTGAGATTAATATATTTTATTAACTCTAATTATTATTTCTAATGTTTCTCTGAAAAAAATATCTGATTATTTACAAAAAAAAACTGCATTGTGGAGTTTATTCTTTTTTACATAACGTAGTATGTGTATCCGATGAAGAACATGGCATGTATCTCAAAGACCATAAGCGACTGCACCTTCACTGGTACAACCTGATATCAGCTTTACCTTTTACGTGCATCTCGCGCTCGATCGAGTGGGGAGAATTGCACGGCTTGCCGGGAAAGGTGCATGGCCGCTCTGGATGCACTTTTCTCTGCAGTTAGTATACTACGACATCGCGATAAAAGACGTACTTGCTTATCGAAGCTGTCAAAACTCATTATGAAGGCTATCGTGAAAAATAGATCGCATAGGATTTAGCAATTAAAGAAATTATAATTTGAGATAATCGTCTAAAGCGACAGTGATCTGAAATATGTGATTTAAAGCAATAAATAAAAAGGCAATTGTATCTGTATTGTACAGCCAGAAATAAATCTATAATTATAAAGTTAAATAGTTTTAACTGAGCAATTATAAAGAAATAATTAATCGAATTATAATAATACTGCATAGATTTATGTAATCATTCCCGTGTCAAAAAAATGAAATTGATTGCGTTGTTTATGATAGCAAATTGCATATCAAATTGCATATCGTGGAATGGATCGTTCCCTTGGAATACACTATCAAGTAAATTATTATGTCATTTTTGATAAGAAACATTTTTCATAATTTTGAGAAGTATGAGAATTTTGTAGTAATACACAAAAATTTTTTAATATTATTTTATTATCTGTTAATTCAAATATCTAATTATAATTAATATAAAACACTCTCAAATAGCCATAGTTTTGATTTAAAAAAAGTGTATATCTAGGCATTAAGTTTGTCATTAATTTTTGTAGCTTGTAACTGCAATGGATACTCGGATAGATGCTACTTTGACAAAGAACTGTACAAGGCAACAGGTCATGGAGGTCATTGTTTGGATTGCCGAGCGAACCGAGACGGTGCGAATTGCGAGCGATGTCGCGAAAATTACTACCAACATCCTGAGAGCAACTATTGCATTGCTTGCAATTGTAACGAGATCGGTAATTAATCAATTTATTAACATTTATTTAATTATTTCATTAAATGACAGTACGTAATCAAATAGTGATTCATTTCTATATAAATGTATTAGAGGATTTGTTTTATATTTATGTACATCCCATCGAAAGATTAAATTAAACTTTTATCAAGATCTATTTTAATGATTAATGATAAATTTTAAAATATAATAATCACAATTGCAGGTTCGAGAAGCTTGCAATGCAACAGCGAAGGTAAATGTCAATGTAAACCTGGCGTGACGGGGGATAAATGTGATCGTTGCGCAGACAATTTTTATAATTTTGGCTCGTTCGGCTGCACTTCCTGCGATTGCAACTTGGCGGGATCGGCGAACAACTTCCCCAGATGCAATAATGTCACGGGAATTTGCGTCTGCAAGGAGAACGTTGAAGGAGAACGTTGTAGCGAGTTAGTTTTATTATGCTATTTATTTCAATTATATATTCTTATTACAAAGAACAATATACGCACACAGTTTAAAGTCGGGTAGAATTAAACTAAATGGAAAATATTCTTTATTTTATTCTCCGAAGAGTCGAATATGTGTGAAGTTAATCGAATGTGGAAATTAACCAGGTGTCGTCCGGATTATTTCAATCTGGCGGTGGACAATGAGTTCGGTTGCACCCCTTGCTTCTGCTACGGCCACTCCTCAATCTGTCGGCCGGCGACCGGTTACTCGAAGTTACTCATCGAGAGTATGTTTGTGCGAGGAAATGAACGTTGGACTGCAAATGTAGCCGGCAATCCGATTCCGTTGCATTATGATGCGCTAACGCAGACGATCTCCGTTACGGCACTCGATCGCGACAACGTGTACTTCCTTGCGCCCGACAGATTTCTCGGAAACCAACGCGCGTCTTACAATCAGGACTTGTCATTCATACTTAGAATAGGAGAAACCGGTCCAGCTGCTACAGTTCGCGATGTAATCTTGGAGGGTGCAAACGGCGAGCAGATCACACAACCGATCTTCGGTCAGAAGAATCGCTTGCCGACCGTCACAGTAAGTATTCTTGTTCCCGTTGCCTTTTATCTTTCTTTTTTTCCACTTATGTACGTAACTTATTTTTTTTAGTATTTTTCTAGTGAGAATACATATATTATTCATCGAATATTAGATTAGATATTTCTTCATAATGTCTTGTTAACATAATCACTGTTACAGCCCCAAGAATATCGGTTCAGATTGCACGAGCAATATGGATGGGAGCCTCGATTATCCTCTCGAGCCTTCATGTCGATTTTGTCGAACCTGACAGCGATAAAGATTCGCGGAACTTTCACGCATCAAGGCCGTGGATTTTTGGATGACGTGAAGCTGGAGACAGCTCATCGCGGCGCGGCCGGTGAACCAGCTGATTGGGTAGAACATTGTCAGTGTCCTGCCGGTTACGTCGGCCAGTTTTGCGAATCGTGCGCACCTGGATATCACCATGATCCACCTAACGGCGGCCCGTTCGCCACCTGCGCCAAGTGCAACTGTAACGGCCACGCCGACATCTGCGAGGCTGAGACTGGTATCTTATTTTATACACTCATTTTGCATTTATATTTCTTCTTATACTTATCGTGAGAGAAATAGAGAGAGATATTTGCGAATGATTATGTTAATTATACGAATGAGCTAAAATTTAACTTATTTATGAGTATCAACAAAATACGCACGCCTAAAAAATGCAATAATAAAATTCAGTTATTTTAAGTTTCAATTTTACATATTGATTAAAAGTATAGAGTGAAAAAATAAGTTGAATACAATACTTTCCGTATGTTTCAGGACAATGTATCTGTCAACACAATACCGCAGGAAGCAATTGTGAATTATGTAGCAGAGGATATTACGGTTATCCATTGAAACAAACTCCGGACGATTGCAAACCATGCCCTTGTCCTGACAATGGTCCTTGCATTCTTATGGGTGATAATCCAGACCCCATCTGCTCAGAATGTCCTAATGGCAGGACTGGTAAGTTTGTTATGTAAAACTATCTATACAGACTTCCAATTAAAACTGATCAATTCCCAGACAATGTGAGTAGCTACAAAATATTGTGGACATCCTTTAGACACAGATTTGGAACGTTTCTCATATCGTTTTTCTTTACGTTTTATATAATTTGTTTTATATTTATTAAATAAAAAGTAACTTATCTAGATGCATATTATTAATAATGTAACAGTTGAAGATAATTAACTTTTTTTTTATTAACCAATGTCTCACATAATTTCCCCTGTTTTTAAATTTATTATAAATTATAATGCTACAAGATATTTATTTTTGCAGGACGTAGATGCGAAGTATGTTCAGATGGTTATCACGGGAATCCTGAAATAGGTGTGGCTTGTCATCTCTGTGATTGTAATAATAACATCGATTTAAATGCGGTTAAAAATTGTAACAATCGAACGGGAGAATGTCTCAAGTGCGTCAATAATACGGCGGGCTTTCATTGCGAGGAATGTCTGCCAGGTAAAACTAACATTAGAAATTGATGTTTTCAAATGGATTGTGTAACATTACTTAAGGGACCCAAGATAAATAAGACTTAAAAGTAATATAATTTTTGAAAATTTTATCTATTATATCCATTTTTATTTATATCTATTAATTAATAGTTAATACGTTTGATATTAGGATATTACGGAGACGCATTGTCAGATCGTAAGGAAGATGGATGTAAGCTATGTCAGTGTTATCCACCTGGTACTGTGGAGCTTGATGATGGAAGAGTCGCGCCTTGCGATCAATTGACAGGGCACTGTACCTGCAAGCCGCACGTTGTCGGTCGCAATTGTGATAAGTGCGAAGAAGGCTATTATCATATTATGAGCGGAGAGGTAAGATCCACTGCATTAAAAGAAACAATTGCAGATTAATGAAATAAACTGCGTTAGGTTCATTGCATATGTATATATAGTTTCACTAAAGTATTTCTTATTAAATTTTATTTCTGTAATAATCCTGTGATTAATTGGTCACTAATTGAATAATATTTCCATTTCATTATTTATCAATTCAATAAATTAAAATTAATTATTGTTACGACTTTTTCACATCTAAAGAAGTATGAATTATTTTCAAGTTATCTCAGTAAAGAATGTGTCATATCCTCATATTGCAGGGATGCACGCCTTGCAACTGTGATCTTGAAGGTTCTTACAATCGCACTTGTAACCCGATAACGGGCCAATGTCAGTGCCGATCCGGGATTACTGGTCAACGGTGTGACGCCTGTGAATCCTATAAGTACGGATTCAGTCGTGAGGGCTGCAAGCCTTGTGATTGCGACAGCATTGGCTCCCAGCAGTTACAATGTGATCCAAATGGACAATGTCCTGTGAGTATTTATAATTAGAGCTAAATATTCTATATAAATTAAGAAAATTAATCTATATTTTTAAATTTTTTAAATTATTTTCATTCAATGGTTTTTTGTTACAATTGTCGACAGTGCCTGCCAAACGTCGAAGGTAGACGCTGCGATCGCTGCAAAGAGAACAAACATAATCGTCAGCACGGCTGTGTCGACTGTCCTGATTGTTACAATCTCGTACAAACGGCGGTCGATGATCATCGACGGCGCTTAGCCGAACTCGAGAACACCCTGCATAAAATCAACAGCAGTCCTACCGTCATCAAAGATTCAGACTTTGAGAAAGAACTCAAGAACGTCCAGGATAGAGTAAAAGCTTTATTGACTATCGCCAAGCAAGGATCTGGCAGTAAATATTATTATTATCATCATCTAAATATTGACGCCGAAACTTTACGAATATTACAAAATACTGATTGAAACAAAATAATAATATTTAAGATATAAAATAAGATGTAAAAATCTTGATTTTGTCCTTAATAATATCGTAAAAAAAAGATTGGTGTCTTTGTCGCAGGTGAAAATAAAACGTTGGTGGAACAGCTGGACGAGCTGCGTGAACAATTAAATACAATCGACAAGATTTATCAGACTGTAGATGTGACGACGGATGATGCACGCGATATAACCGAAGAAGGTTTAACGAGCATCGATGAAGCTGAAAAAGTTTTGGACAAAATCTATGAACAACTAACGGTAAATATTATTTACTTCCTATATATATTATTTATAGTGATTCGAAAAATTAATCAAATGTTTCGAAAATCTCAAAAGATCTATATTATCTATAATATTATTTTATAGAAATTACACGCAACTACAAAAATCTTGATCTATATCTTATATATGTCCGCCCTCTTCCTTTTTTTCTATTGCATAAAAAGAAATGTTTTTTTTTAATTTTTGAAACATTTAAATAATTTTACAAATAGTTATGTAGTAATTATTAGCTTGTATATTCAATTTTATAAATGCCAGGATGCGGAGGATTACTTGGCCTTGGATGGAGCAAGCGCTTTGGCTCATGCAAAATCGCGTGCCGAAGAAGTTGGTCAGCAAAATCAACAGATGACTTCGATCGCGCAGCAGGCTCGCCTACATGCTGAAGTGTATGTATTTTGCATCGCGAATATACGTGCAAATTGTATTTTATATTAAAAAAAGGTTTTTTTAACTTTAATTACTTTTAAGTTACTTAAATTTTTTTATATTAAACCATCAAATAAATTTTGTAAGTTACTTTTAATTTTTTATTATCATATTGTACAAGCTATATTAATTACATTTCTTAGGAATACTAACGAAGCCAAGAAGCTTCACATGCTGGCAGAGCAAGCACGAAATACGACATTAGAGGCTTATAATCTTGCAAAGCAAGCAATATCAAAGAATTCTAATATAACGTGAGTAATATTTCTTTCTTTGCTTTTCTTATTTCTAACTTGTATTAAAAATAAGGAAAAAAAATAATTTTTCAGGAATGAAATAAAAGATCTGGAAAACAAGTTAGTGCAGTTGGAGGATCGTATGGACGAAGTGAGAAATCTGACTAATATTGCGGCGGCTAAATCCTCGACTGTCTCTCAGGAGGCGTTAGACTTGCTAATTCTCGATCTAACGCTTCCCTCAATCAACATCGAACAATTGCAGCAACAAGTGGAAAGCGTCAGCAACGAGGTATTACAATATATGAATAGATAAATACACAAATGATACATAATGTTAAATTAAAATAATTTGTGTTCCAAACCAGGGATTGCGAATAAAAGAGCAGGCGCAGCTTTTATTGGAGCAAAACGAGAATTTTATCAAAGAAATGGTGGAAAAAATTAGAAAAAGCGAAGAACTTTTAGAAAGAGCTCAAGATCAACAAGCTGCCACAGCTGAACTTCTAGCTGAGTTGGACGAAGCGAATGAGACTGCGAATGACGCCATTAATCGTAGCAATCAGACTCTGAAAGAAGCTCAGGAAACCCTGAACAAATTGGGAGGTAAGTTCTATAATATAAACATAAAAAGCCTGAAAAACATTCATTAAAAAAAATTGGGAAGACAAATGTCTACGAAACTTTTTCCCTTATTTTAAATTTTATATTGTTTTATAGAATTTGATGCTGAAGTGCAACGCGAACGTGTCAAGGCTCAGGATGCTTTAAAGAACATTCACAGTATTGAAGAATTGATTCGTAATGCCAATCAAAAAGCTGAAGATATGACGATAGTGATAAATGGAGCGGGGAATAGTGTCGATAATGCGCGAAAAGTAGCCCAGAACGCTCAGGTGATTATTAATTAAAGAAATACTATAATATATAGTGAAATTATTGAAGCAATTATTGAATTTTTTTATTTTATTAAAGTTATTGCAATGTTATTTTTATTTTTTTTTACTTTGTCTTATTTTTACATTTATTATTTTGTATCATTTTGTTATATCAGACTTATGCAGATAAAGCAAGCGTTAACGCGAACGATATTAGGATAGAAGCGAATAAAACAAAGATTGAAGCTCTACGACTGGAAAGCGAAGCTCAGAAACTGCATCTCAGAGTTGATATCACAGATACGGTAATGAAACAATACGAGAGTCAGATGGCTAATGACGCTAATGCCACAGCCGAGGTAAAAATTTAATTAAAAATAGAATAACCTATAATAATATACACTCACCCGAAAAAAAAGCGGTACACTGAAAATGTGGGAAAAATTCATCAAATTTCAACTGACGATAACTTCGTAAATAATAAAGATAGAAAGTTCTATAAAATATGGAAATGAAGCTAAAAATCTCTACTTTAAGAATCAATTTATTTTAATGTTGACAAAATAAATTTATTGAAAATGGCGGATGACAAAGCGCGAGCATGCAAAATTGAAAAATAATGGTTCGAGTTTGCGACGGTGCACGGTATAAACAAAAAATTGTAGCTTATTGGGATCAAAAGCGTACGAAAGTACAGAGTCTCCTCTTTAAAATGCTTTTTTATGCATCTCGATACGATGATTTTTCGCCGAGAGATTCGCATTTGAAGAAAAAGGCAGATTCTTACTTCTAGGCCTCTCACTTAGCGAAAAATCATCGT